TGCTGATCCACAAGACAAGTTTTGTGTGGGTAAAAGTGCGCAAGGTGAACAAAAAACCGGACATGCGCAGGCGAGTGTGAAAGACGCGAATTAACACGGTTCACTGCAATTTACTGGTCACCTGAGCAATATCTTAGTTTCAGGATTCTGAGTAGCACATCCACAATGTTTAAAACAGCGGCACTTACCTAAATTTGCGAGGTATTATTTTGAAGCATGCAAATAACTGGTCCTCAGCCGTAAGAAAGAGCAAGCGAATCGTGGCTGTACGTACCACAGTATCTATGACGCCGTAAATGACGGTCACTCACCAGGTAAAAATTATTTTATAGCACCGAAGTAACGATAGTTTGCATAGACTCGCTCGCAATCTAATTACTAGGTCTCCAACTAAAGTGTGTCAAATGAAACGGGCCTTTTCATTAAACCACTGCATTACCACAACAATTGTTCCTGGTCGAAGTCGGTGAAGGTGCTTCACGCTGAAGCTGGAGTTTCCAGTGGAGAACAGAACTCCCCTCTTGTTAGTAGTAACCATGAGTGATCATTGTAGAAATAACTTCCCTTGCAAATGCCATACGAAATTTTGCATTATGTATCGCTATGTACGAATAAGACGTCTAATACTGAACAAGAATTTTTCCCTGAACGTCTTTTATTTGTTGATGGTGATTAAAATATTCACAGAAGATAGCAATTAGATAACTTGTTTTGACGCCTGCATAATTTGATGAAAAAGGTTCGTGTTAATGTGTTGATAGTTACACTTGGAACAACAAAGCAACGCCGCCCATGATCCACTTGGCCGGTTTCTCCTTAGTTCTCAGATGGAAGGTCCACACAAATGTGGGTCCACGCATCTTGGTTTTGTAGACGGGGCAGGCATAGAGGGCGGCTAATCGACCTTCCTGGCGATCGGCAGGCACCGCCCGCAGCATGATCACGGGCACAGGAGGTGAAAGCTCCTTCATAAGCGATTCGACCACAGAGTTGGCTGCCATGTCCCACCGTGCGCCTTCCATGTAGAGACCGTGGACATAGGCCCCCTCACGTGGAGCCGAACCCATGTCGTCACGCCATTTCTTGGTAACCTCTACATTGATACAGATCTTGTCCAATGGCCACTCAAACTTGCGCGCAGTCTGCTGGATCACAGCCGTGAGGAAGGACTGCGGGTTAAAGAGACCGCCAAGCCAGACTGAACCGGGCAAATTGAAGTCTTGCACCCAGATGTCCAATTCCTTTACACGAGACAGCATATCGGCGAACCACAGACCCAGAGGATAAAGGCTGGGATATGCGTAACGTTCCCAGGTCTCTGGCACCTTGATAACGGCAAGACGTGTGGTGAGTGGGCAAATTTAGTTTTGATCTTGGGAGTAGAGCATTTAAATAGGCGTATGGAAATAAACGAAAGCTGGTGGACTTTGAAAACAACCACAATCCTTTCGGCACTCAGTGGAAGTTTTACTATTCTATATTTGAATTTCAGACCTATATCAAAACTTGATTTCGGACAATCACGTGACAGCGTTATGCTAAAGATGATTCATGTTACAAAATACCAAGATCCTCGAAACCCTGTCTTACTGAATCGAGGAAAAGGTGTCCAGCCAGTATATCCATATCGCCTGACATAGTCAACTCCCCCCGCAGGCCAAGTCGGAGCTCCTTCAGAGACCGTCGAATTTCCGCAAGGAGAATGTTCATACGTTCGCATTCCTGCAGAGCGACCACTGTGTACGGCGTGCGTTCATCAGGGGCCTGGCGAGCGCCCAGTTCGGCCATGTTGAAGTTGTCCGGCAGCCGCTCCGTGAGGTCTTCTATGATCTGGAGCAAGGCCTCCTCCCGTGAAATGGACTCACCACCACCACCGGAAGAGTCACGTTGTTGCAGCTCAAGCACCATTCGGAAGACTCGTTCTGCATTCTTCGTAAGGAATTCGATCTCCGCATTTGGATGAAGTCCGTAAAGGTGCGGAGATTCTGGTGGCAAGGCATCATCGATGTAAGCATGATAACCGACGTAGTCTGAGTTCGGAGCGACTAGGAAACCCGGCGCTAAGTAGAGATCTCCATCAATCTACGTGGACAAACCATGGTGGGGTTGAAATAAAATGGCTGAGGAGTTGCATTTAAATAAAAAAATTAGTTGATTGGAGGTGAAATCAGTTGGTGATAGGAAGCCAAAAAGTAATGCATTGCAGTCAGCAAATTATCTTGACCACTTCCCTCAATTAAAAGTTAAAAATGGAAAACAATAATTTGGTGATTAAAAGCGGCCATTCAGACTAAAGTCAAGTAAAAATTGGCTGTAACATTTCGTAAAGTTGCCTTTGAAAAACAAATGCATGTCGAAGCCGAGATGCTGTCTCTAACATTGTTCACGCTCTACACTTAATGTAGCGAAATTGAAACTTACTAATTCGGGTTGCAGATACTCCTCAAGGAAGGTTTTGCACAGTCTTCTGTCCCAGTCATCGGTGATATGACCTCCGTACATGATCTCACCAAAGAGGTAACGCAAATCCTCCCACGGAACTTTTGTACTGGATTCAAGGTAATTGTATAACACATCAAGGCAAATCCGTAAATCGCCTGAGCTAAAGGGATAAGATCTGTTCCAGCCTTGCGCACCAAACTTTCTTCGTTCTGTCACAACAGCGTGGAAATAGCAAAGGGCAAACAAAATCGGTTTGAATTCCGCCTCCTTGGAACAGCGTTCCAATGTTTCCTTAAATTAATGAGACAAGAACCGATTATGTAAAATTTATTTACAAAGGAGATCCAGACAATATAGCGTGCTTACCTGTGTAAAATTATCCAGGGCCTTGTGAAGATTTGCCTGCATGCCGGTAGGGGGCTCATTTGTGATTTTGATAGCATTCTCCAGAATACCCTGTGGAATTATGTGTGTGTCTGCAGTGGCCGCGGGTTCAGCACTGATAAAAATGCGGAATTTCGGATTAGACACTTCACCCAGTTGTTCTAATTTCTTTTCTAGCGTTGGCAACCATCGTTTGACCAGGTGGATATTTTGTAATACAACCCAATGACCTTCTACCGCTCCCAGATCGAGCGCATTTTCAGCCACGACCTCCTGACCCTGTCCCAGGGAGACATTGTGAAAGTTATTTTTGTCCACGGAGAAACCGAGCTTGCGCCCCAGTACTTCCACATCCTTTAAAGGGTCCACACCGGGTGAAAGAATGAAGAAGACAGGAACATTTGGCTTTGACTCTTTGTAGGATGTGGCGAAGTCCACTTGGCGACCTTCCACATATTTAGCACCAAAGGTTGTTGAGATGAAGTAAACAAGTGCGTATGTCATACGATCAGGTCTTAATGCACGCATGATACAAAGTTTTTCTGCTTCTGACTTATTCTTCCACTCCTGAGGGAGTTTCTCTTTTTCAGGTGCTTCGGTGTCCACAAAGGCCTTCCAGCGTTTAGCGGATGCTACAATGTCCTTATCCAGGTCACGAAAATTATCGATACGTACCAGGGCCTGCACACCTCCCCAACTAAGATCACTAAGGAAGTCTACGGGACTTTTAAGATCAGGCACTGCTGGATAACGTAAAAGAAAATCGATGAGGAACTGAGGGAAGTCTCCAGAATTTTGTTGGACCTGTAGAACCATAAGTACACAGAAAATGAGTTTGTCTCTTTCAAAAAGACCTCTCGTGGTGTAAACGTAGATGGAATATGTAATATTGTCCATAAGATTCATAAGTCTTTCTTCCTCTGTCTCAGCCTCTGGAGCAGTATCAATAGCCCACTCAAATACTGTACGGAAGGCCTTCAGTGAAAATTGATACATTGGATGAATTCGGTTCAAGTCATTCATGATGAAGTAAATGAGAGCCGCCCTGCTGGCCACATTGCGATAGTGCTCACGCGCAACGTTAATTTCAACTTCGGTTACCTTAGCTTCGGCTACCTTTTCCTCAATTTCAGTCGCCGTCCGTTTATTTGTCTCTAAATTTTCTACTAGGGAATGATCGCCCAGAAAGTTACCGCCGGTAGCCGCCAGCTTCGCTAACAAAGAATCTTCAAGAGTTTTAAGGGCAATCTTAAATTCGTTCTGCTGTTTAGTCAGATCCGACTTAAGTTTCTCAAGATCAGGACGTTCTTTGCTTACAACAACAGCCAGAAGCTGGTCTTCTAAACCAGATCTGGTGACAGTGAAGTTGATAAGAGTGGTTTGAGCCTGCAACTCAGGCTGGTAGTGGGGGTTGGCAAGCTTAGTGTGAAGAATAAGCTTGAAATTGGGATTGTACCTAATCTCCTTATCACCAATTAGCATTAATTTGCCTTTTTGAATCGTGACACGACCAATAACTGGATCCAAAATTGCATCTATGGTCTCACCAAGATTTTCAATGAGCACGACCTGACCATTCTCAATGGCACGAATTATCTCGTCAATAAATCCCTTTTGTGTAAGACGAGTTACTACAAGTTCATTACCATACTTTGTTTTGATCCACTTTATGGCCTGAAGCTGAGGATCAACCATCAATGGCCATCGTTCACAGAAAGTCAAGATCGTAGCGTTTTCGGTTGACATTCGATCACTGGGTAGACCCTCATTGTTCCACCCTGCCACAATTGCATCATTAATCAGCATCTTAAGCGGATCAATATTCTGTCGGCGTGGAATTTGCACCTTTTGCTGATCAAGGAAAGGTCGAATTCGTCTTTCCATTAATTCGTCACGGAAAAATGTACTGAGATAACCAAAGTATGATATGAAGGATGTCGTAAATATGACGTCGCCACATATTGTTTCACCTAGCTTGAAAAGATTTTTGACCTCCTGGGCCCAACGTACATTCTCAGAAGCGAAACCGCTAACAAGGCGGTTTGCCAAATCCAGAGTTAAAGCAGTATCATCGGCCATTTTTTGACAGCGTAGTTTCTCCTCAGTCGCAGCACGAAATTCGGCGGTCAATTTGCCTAATGACTCTTCAAGCACCCTCACTTTGTCCTGTAAACCTTGCAATTTCTCCGAAGCCTGGCGTAGTTCCTCATTCGCGGCATCTAAAGCATCGCGTTTGGGTTTGACTTCTAGAAAGACGTCATGGAATTTAAGGATATTGATAACCCATGAACAGAGACCAGCTGCGGCAAGGGACTTGGTCTTAATGACCTCAGGATTGAAGTTGGGATTCTTCACGTAGCCAAGAGCCACCTTTTTTGACTCAGGGTGAATGTGCTCCTTGTCATAGTTGACTAGGTTAAACAGCAGGGTGTCTGCCTTAGACATAATGCTCGCTTTCGCCGCCTTCCAGCTGCGATCTTTTGGCACTTTTCCGTCCATGGCAAACAGAGCCATAACTGCCGAACAGACCATTTCGACGTCGGCAGGGGGTGAACCAAGAGCCTTCAACTCGGACAAGTTGTTTTTGTTTAATGTATTCAGAGCCTCTTGTGCTGCTACCAGTGCTGGTTCGGCCTTCATGAGGTCGCGTTCACAATCTTTCTGTTTAATCTCGACTTCATTTTTAATAACAGCCACTTTGGCCTCTTCACCAGCCACGAAATCTTTCTCGGTCATGACAATTTCAGTCTCCTTGCTAACAGTTTCGACAAGAGCGTTTGCAGCTTCGTTCTTTTCTTTCACAACCACAGTCTGCTCAGCAAGTTGGATCTTGAGATCAGCCGTTTGGGCGGCAGCATCATTAAGACGTTCAAGACCGTTATTCAAGCGCTCGATCATAGCTTGAACCTCGTGAAGTTGATTAGAGATGAGGCGTTTGTAAAGGGAAATCATCTCGAGGAAGGATTTCGGTGTGGTATAATTTCTACGGCGCTCCTTTTCAAAGTACATCTCGGAGACCTCCGATACTGTCGTGTGCAAGTATGCCATATACTCGCTTACAGATTCGCGGATGTCGTCCTAAAATATGAATCAGTTTGATAGTGGCAATTCTTGTGTCGATTCACTTTTGCGAAAACCTCAAGTTTTCATTAGATATGCATTGATTTCGAAAGCTAAGAGAATTAATTACAACCCCATACAAATACGGTTTAGAGCTTGAAAAAACGTTTTCGTTCAAAGATATTGCTTAAGGACCGTTCGACATTTAATTTATGTTACACCCCATCAAACTCAAAGCAGAAAATAGAGTTGGGATAAGACTTATTTTTTCGTAGATTAACGATGACGTTAGAAAAAGAGTTACTTAATCGGAAGGAAAGCTCTCATGTATGAGAATATTGATTTGTCCTGGTAAAAAAGCGACTATTACCAAAAAAATTCAGTAATATATCTTAGTGTGTACTAGTAATGTCTGATATCGGTAAAAATCTCTCGAAACATCTAACATCAACCGTCTACGTGTACCAAATAAAAACTTACTTCCAACCCTTCACAGTCTTCGAGGAAGCGTAATGAAACGGACAAGAGCGCCTCCTGAGGCCATTCATGGAACCAGTCGATACAGGTACATGTGACCAAAGCTGGGAAACGGCGAGCACGAGTTCTCAGAGTATTTCCCACAGGCGAGAAGCATAGAACCATCTAAACGGATATTTTTAGTGAATCAGAAGAAACCTTTCACTTTTCATGGCTGTGGTCAATGCTTACCCGAAGGGTTCGGCGAACCTTTTCGATAAAATACTTCCAACAACTATCATTGCTTTCGTTGTAACCCATTGCCTTGGCCTCGCTGCGGATGCCATTGATAATGTTGTCCTGATCTTCATCATTAAAAAGACCAGAAATTTCACCAGAGGCCAAAAAGTCATTAACGCACACCAGGAAACTTTCATCTGCCACCTTAAGAGAAACGAGCAGTTATGTTATAGTCTTTTTCCAGCCTGAAACCATCACCGACAAATCAAAACAAAACGCAAACGTTAAACACCTACAGGGACCCTAATTCTAACTAGACATAGGCTGATGCAAAGATGTATCGGGGCATGAAGCTACACCGAGACTAAAAAAGGACGAAAGGAAGAAGGGAAATGACAGTTCATTCCCTCAGACAATGGCCAACATTTGAGTCTGCGACTTCTGAGACAATAGAGACCACCAATACGATAACCAACATTAACTAAGAATAGAAGGGGAGCGTCTAGACAGATTCATACTTTTTAGATGTCGTGGAGTACTTTAATGCAAATGTCTCAGAGAAATGTGAAAATAACTAGTGCCTGTACCTCGTCTTGCGTGTTGAACAGTAGTGATGCTTCCCAACATAGTAAGATTACAGAAACCAATTTAGTGCATTGGAACTTAAGATCATTTCAAAGTTGGATACCGTTTTAGGGAACACTTTTCAGCTTCAAGGATTTGGTGCACCCACTCTTAGGTGTCAACGTATTGAAAGTATCAGAAGTTTACGTCAAGTTATTAGAATGAAAGGCATTTACCCCAGGCAGATGAACCCAAATCTTGAACGTATATTCTAGTTGATAGGTATGGGTATTAATTTTGTCTGAGGTTGGTGCGAAGGTAATGTCCGTTATTTATCATAAATGTATTGGATAATATTTGTTAGAATTCTGGGATCCTAAGGTTTCGCTCGAAACCAATGTAATGTATGTGGAAATCAAAACTACTGCAATTGGCGCAAACATTACCTGTGCATCTGTCATTAGGAAAACGACAGGCATACTCCTGAGACCTGCTTTAATATACAAAGTAGCCAGGTGCGCCTTCAAGTCAATCATACTGTAATTTCTTCTTAGCACAATCTGAGAAACTTCAAATCCAACAATGAAGGAAGCAAGACGGGACAGGGACTGTTTCCCCGAACCCCCCACACCGACAAGGAGGCAATTGCCTCTGGGCATTTCCAATATTCTCGTGATGCGCATTACATGTTCTACAGCATCTCCGAAAAGAACAAGATTCATGGTAGCATTTGACTCGTTGTAGATGTCAAGACTCTCAACAAGAACTCTTGTCATGTGCTCCATCGAGGGGATTTCGGCGTACTGCTTATCTGCCTCTATACCCCGGCCAAAGTGGCATAGGAGATTCGGTTCGTTAGTAATATCCTCGGTTGAAATCTCTGTGAATGTGCTAGTGAGTCCGTTGGTGATAATATTTACTGCTTGGTTAATATCTAGTTTGCTGACCATCTTATCTGAATAAACTCTCATTGCCTCATGGCGATAGAGGCGCACAATGCTCAAATCACTGCGGAAAACTTCTGCCTCGGAGAAGAGCATGCCCTAAAAGGTAAACACAGGGCAATTCGAGATAATTTACAGCACTGTTGATAATTTACAGAATTGTTGGCATTAAGCATCTTTTAGAAGAGGGGATTTCTCATTTGAGCTAGTCAGCTGATTTAATGAATGGACATAATTATCGTTGTTCATAAAAATCAGTCTTTTGAAAGCTCCATGATCCTTTGAATAGCGATAAAGTTTCGCTTGGTGATGGCTATAATCGAGGAATCGTTTATTTGGGTGAATGTTAAAAGCAAAATGCCACACTAAATGGGGATCGCTCACAACCCCATGCAATGACGGTTCACGGAACGAAAAATGTTTGGTAGACAAGACAGCTTTTGATATCTCTTCAAAGTGCTCAGTTTACTACGCGTTTATGACCCATCGTTCCTTTACTTATCGCGTCGTTATCACCGCACGCCTTAACCTGCAAAAAACTCGTGAACAGAGGCTCACAAATAGAACCGTTGAAACCGCCCGTTCAGATATCAGTGCCCCAACGAATCGGCAGACATAAAAAACTGTTTTTGCAGGAGTTATTTTTTAAATCACAAAGGCGAAAGTGAAAAAAAACTGCCCATGAATGACAATTATGCGAAAAATTTCATTTGACCAGGTTCCAGTGATTGCGCTGAATGGGTTTGTAAACCTCACCTGAAATATGTTGGAAAGATCTCGGAGATTGAAGACGTAGTGGAAGCAGACCGCAGTAGGCAGGAAGCTAGTGGTTATCTTGTTGTGAACGGCGATCGCAGCGGCGACTAAATTAGGCACAACCCGCATCATAGTGGCAGCCATGCCAGCTGATTTGAGATGCTGGCTGAGAATAGTTGCGTATATGGACTTCACGGCTTCTTCATCTGGGAAGGAGAGAGCAAATGTGCAGAAGTGTCTCTGTAGACGGTCTTGGATGGTGAAACTACCAGCGGTCGGGTTCATTGCTGCCACATACTGGGTTTTGTGAACCACCTTCAGAGTTAGCTTCGTGCGGTCATAGAAATGTTTGTAGTCAATGTGCTGACGCATTAAAGTATGCGGCTGCACAGTAAAGTATTGATCAACCTACAAGAGAAAAGAAAGTCTGAGGAGTTCTTTGTGGACTGTTACCAGGACAACGAAACAAACAACCATGGTGTTTCAAAATTCATTTTTTATCCCTGAATGTGAATTTACTAGGTTAATTTTTCTGACTTTAAAGTAAAAAAAAGGTTGCAATAATTTATATATACACCCGCTTTTCACAAATCAATAGTAATAAACATGTACTGAGTGACTCATTTGAGCATAGTGGTTGTGGGCGCATGGTAAGAGGGCGTTTGGAGTACTAATTCGAAAATCAGATGGCTACAAAATTAACGTGAAGTATGAAGTTAATTTGCATAATAATTCGTAAAAAAAACTACAGTCTGTCGGAGACTAAAGGAGCAATTATTAAGGGGAAATAGCTTTCAGCAGCTCACAAACCTATCTCAAATTGCAAGAATCCCTAGGGCCAAAAGTAGTGACGCAATAATAGTACCAGGCCACTTCATGTGGAAACAAAGATGACTCGCATGGGATGTGGATTCAACAGTGTTATGCCCGATGCACAGGCCTCGTGTCAAACGCCAAAATCGCTGCTTAATGTGCATCCCCTGCCGGCCAATCTCCGGTTCCATTGGCCATGATGGATTCGGTACGACAGGTTACCCTGTTAATCAAGTACATACACTCGCTGAACAAGAAATCGTGTGGGACTAAATTTCTTCGGTATTTGAAATTAGAACTAAGTCTCGGTAAGTTACACTAATTTTAATAGGAAAGCTACAAAAAGAACAAGCCCAGTGGTAAGCGTTAGTGGAGACTTCCGCACTACTGTATCACTTTAAAATTAAATTGGGACGAACTACAAGGACCATAGGTGCCCATGCTCTTTCGGAGGGAGTTTCAACTCTGGTAAGTATAAAGTGCTTATATGGTCATTTTAAACATCCACTTACTTCTGGCATGTTAAGGTCGTCGATGAAGTAGATCATTCGAAACTGACCAGGTGGTGCATAATTCTTTCCCGCCTTTTTCTCAAGGCTTTTGTCAAGAATTTCTTGTAGCATCAAGCTGGTAGTGTAAAAGTTAAAAGAGATATTCTTCACCATGAAAACGTCGATTGAGAGATGTGAAAACAGGTCCTGAAGGAGAACTGATTTGCCCGTTCCCGCGCCTCCGACAAGCATTACTGGTTTCCCCAAATGCACCAGTTTGTCCAGGAAATATCGCGTACGAATGGTCTCACCGGTAGGAACGAGGCAATTCTAGTAATGGATGGGAAAACATGGGTGAGAAATAGACTTGGAAATCCATTGGAGAGAGAAAATAAAGCAAAACTCAGTTCACCTGCAGAGGCTGATCAGGGTCCCTTACGTAGGGTTCTAGCAGTGAACTCCAAGGCTCAAATTTACGGCTCGTTAAGTTCCAGTAAAAATCGAAGACTGTTCCCGATGAAGGGAATTTGACTGTCTTAAATTCATTGATCCACCACTTGTGGAATTCATGTCTGTGATCGCCCATTTGATCCTTAAAGAGAGCTCCTCCCATGGCCCAAACACAACAGAAGCAGAACAGACTTTCGTAATTTTCTTTTGTAAACTCACGGTGATCTTTTGAATTCTTCTGGGTGTCTAGCATACACTCTAGCAAATAACACAGCATATTGACGTGCGCCAGATCTGGTATAGGAGTGATCTTTTTTAGCTTGGTATTGCAAACCTCCAGGCAGGGGCCAACGTATTTATCAAAGCAAATTGACAAAGCTGGACGTTCAGTTCTCGAAAGAACTTTATTTTCCTTCACACGGGAATCCAACCAACTGTGCACATACCTATAAAACACAGGGTATAACTGTCAACTGATTTGTTTGATGTTAAGTTAGCTTCCCTAAAACAACCTTGACTCATGAGAGGTGACTCATCTTTGATGGTAAGTTGGTTTCTATTCGGCAGGATGCGTTTGCAAACTTTCATCGTCCAAGCTGTCCGTCTTTTTTTAACATCGTGCCTTTGTCCTGGGTGGGCAAGCTTTTTAACTGTTCCCACTATTTTTGTAGGCTAACACATCGACTAAACCTTCAAGTGCCGGTACGATGCGTCAGAGGCGTTCACTGAGGTGTCAACGCCTACTTGAATGACTGCCATGGTCAGTGCCTCGCATAGTTAGTGCATTGCAAGGGCGAATCGCATTAAAACTTTCGTTGAGGTTTTTAAAAAGATTTTGAATTAGTGTGTTGTTAATACAAAGTGAGTTGAAATCCCGGCAACCCTTTGAAAATGTACATTAGATCCGCAATTCTGGAAACCCTCTTTGGTCGCCCAGAAGAATTTTTTTGAACGTTTAACAACTGATTCGTCTTAGATCATTGTAATTTTTTCTACACCGCCTTCCATCTAAGATAAACTAATGCAAGTTGTCTCCAAAACATCGCCAACCTACACGCAAATTTTGCATGATATCCGCATCTTTGGCGAACTCTGGGATCTCATGCACAAACTACGTTTAAATTCCTATCTTTTGGGGAGGTGTTCACTTACGGTAACCAGCCTAGGTCACTAGCATTAATGTAGAGGATGCCAGCCCGTGAGACGGTGGCAGGTGTGGCCGTTTTCAAATGACTAATTTCAAATAGGAGCCGCATTGTTGGTGTTAAAGGAATACGTTCATTACTGGCCAATGTAAGGATCTTGTTGTCGTCCATGACTGTGTTCAGAGATTCAATCCACATGGGATCAATATCGCCATCAAGAACAATCCACTTGGGACCAGTATGCGTGAGGTTTGCCATGTCACGCATGATTGTAGAGAAGAGACCTGAGACACAAATCCCGAAAACAGTTACTTTGCGAAGGAAAGACACTAAGATTTTTTTATGCATTACTTCCATCACTGACTGGTTCAGAACGTATTCATAGTGAAGACAAATCACGAGTTGGTAACTGGACACGACGTAATTGGCGCAGTTATTGTCAGTGAAAACGGAGGCGCCAACCAACATGATGGGGTTAGAATGTCGGAGTGTAGGGTAAAAATAGGGTAGTTAATTCACTTTGGATACACCTCAAAGTTGCTCTTTAATAATCTATATTTTTTATGAGGAATTTGTCTCCGGAAAGGTGTGACTTCTTCGTTCGGCCTACAACACATGCATTCAAAGATAGTGGCTCTGTGAAACCCTACTCCTGCAATAACGTTCTCTGATCAAATTAAAATTTATAAACATGTGGTAGCAATGAAGAGTGCTCAAGAGGGTTGCTAAAGTTGTTAGCGGTAAATCCACCAAACCTACCGTCTTTCCACTCTCTTGTAGCAGGATTAATAATGCCAAACAACTCGTCGTTAGTGACAGCTTTGGGGTCTAGATCGATTGCGGTTGGCGTCCTGCCGTTCATTTGGTGGGTGTGGTGCAGGGTGCGCCACACTTCGCTCTTTCCGGCTCCGGCGCTGCCGTCAATGAAGACGGAGTGGCGCACGGCAAACAACTCATCCAATTGCACAACCTACAGCGAGACCGACATCTAGAATTTCCTGCTAAATCACACAGCATAATGAATAATCGAAGAAGAAATTATACCGTCAATAGTTGGCAATAAATGTTGGGTCTTGAGTTTTTGTTTTCGTCGAAGCCACTAGCACCAGTTTCTGGGGTTGACAATGACGCATTATAGGTTGATTAAAACAAAGTATCAGGACTGTTGGTAGTGCAAAATAAAACCATTATCCGTAGGCTTACTAATTACATTGAGTAGCTTGCTAAATATATAAATTGGGTTAATTGACTGAAACCGCCCCATGAATTTGGTTGGAAATTAAGCAGCGAATCTTCTCTAGTGAAACTTGAAGCTAAATACGCGACACAGAGTTCTTACCGTTGACAATACTTACTGTTTTTACCCACCTTTAAGATGAATGCTTCCTCCGTTTGCAAGCCAAGGTCTTCGGTAGCCTTCTTAACGTCCTCTTCAAGCTTAAGATTCCTCTTTCTTGGCGCTTCAAGAGCAGGAAATAGGTCCTTAATCAGACCTAGAAATACAGGCAGGTCGTCGGTGATAATCTTAGGGGTGTTGAAGTCGCGAAGAGCTCGCATAAGTACGGCGTCTTCAGCCATGTCGCGATTGTTTCTTTTCAGGGATCCAGCGACAACCAAGACTGATTTGATGGCTCGAAGACCCCAATCATAGTGGTCCTGCTTGGAGAGCAACTCTTTACACAACTCATACAGCGTAATGAATTTGCGAGCTAGGACGCGAGCACTCAGAAAACCCTCAGCCACCAACATGATTTCGCAGATCAAGCCGAAATCCGGGACGACCATGGCACAAGGGCTAAAATTAAAGCAAATCATACCATTAAATAGTTGACCAAATTTAAATCTTCGGAATACTCAAAATGTTAGGTAAGTTTTAGGATTTTCCTTTTTCATTGTCTGATTATGCATGGATTGGAGAGGATCACGAATTTCATTCAAATGAAAGAAAGGGATGATGAGGTCTCGGAAAGTGCAAAAACCTAAATGCGGCCATAGGGGCCATAAGAAAACTAAAATGATGAGATAGGTTGGAAAAAAGGGGAACTAGGGAACTTTGAATATCCGTTGAGATAAGCGTGTAGTATGCGAGCAAATATTTCTTTGCATTCAGTTTGGATCAGGAAAACAAACCAGCCTTTAACCTAAAAACACTTCCCGGAAAAGTGCCTTCAGATTTTCAGGAAGCTCGGTTCGACCGGCGTAGCCTGGGTTCATGGTGATAAACAGGCCAACAGCTGGTTTTAGTGGAATGACTTCACCCAAAAAGTCAAAGGTGACTTTTCGCGTTTTGATGGCATCCTGAATGGACTTGACCTATTTCAATTCAAAGTAGAATAAAAAAATTCAGTTTTAAGCCAGCATTACGTCAACAATTGGCTGTGATGAAAAGCGGCACTTCGAGCTCCAGTACACCTCAGATTTAAGCAATGAAAACCTACTTGTTATTTATTACGAAGTAACAATCATCCTAATGGAATGAATAAAAATTATTTACCAGCACAGTTGCAAAAGTGCTTGCCCACTCTATCTGCCTGGAAAAGCAGCAGACGAATTTGCAATCTGCTTGTGCGATCAATTCGGTCCAAATTTATTTGGACGAGGAAGCTAATTGGAGGTTTTGTCGTGTTGTCAATTGGCATCATAATGAACCCTGTCATGTCACTTTTTTGGATCTCATTCACAAAACTATCCTTTCAGAGGTCTTTTGGTAAATTACGCATTAGTCAGGCGGGTCCTTTTGTTTCTAATTAACGGATCAGCCAGGATCTACTAGTGCACCCCAATGTATTATGCTGCTGAGCTATAACTAACCACTCTGATAGTTATTAAACAAGTTCCTGGCTCAAGTGCGTTTGTTGGTAAAAGCGTGTAGCAGAAACAAATGACAGAGGCCTATTTTTTAAGCTTAATACAAGAGGGAGATCTTTATTCCCCAATTTTTCTTGATAACCTTTCTTCGACAGGGTGACTTTGGTATCACAATTGTTTTACTTCACAAAATAACCTTAAATTACCGACAATTTTGCAATTGTAAATTCAAATTGGCTTTATTCATGACTAAATTCGTTTGCACTGCAAACTTTTGGCATTTTTTATCATGCCAACTCCTTTGAATATATAATAAATCTAAATATTATGGTCCAAAATATATGCTTAATTTTACTTGCTACAGAAATAAACCCAAAACAAGGGGTTTGGATTGTCTATGCCGAAAGGTTTGCGAAAGTTATGTAGCAATGAATGTACACAAATTACACATTTTATGGTCTCACCTGCACTGCAATAACAGAAAGGACTTCGACAGCAATGCGATTGAACTCATCAAAACAGCCCCAAGCTCCGGCCTGAGCGAGGCCTTTGTATATGTTACCAACAGATTTGTAGTCCATCTGTTCAGAGCAGTTGAAGACATAGACCATGATACCGAGAGCTCTTCCCAGGTCCTTCGTCGTCTCAGTCTTGCCAGTTCCTGCGGGCCCGGCCGGTGCCCCGCTCATGCAGAGATGAAGTGACTGTGTTAGGGTTATGTAACATCGATCAGTGAGCGGTGTAACTACTAGACGTGGCGTGCATCCTAGGTATTCATGTGCGTAGGCAAACTCGGCGTCGCAGATGTTGATGAAGCATTCCTTCTTGTGTTCATCCCACCTCACCCGAAGCTGAGAAAGCCACGCAAATGCCTTGGAGCTGTCTACTTTCATGGAGATTAGTTTTGAGACGGCATCCCTGTTGTGCACGTCGATGGTACAGAGCGTCATGATTTTCTGTCGGTCTCCAGGGGTCAGATCTGTCAGCAGCATTTCAATCAGGGTTCCGAGGGAGTTTACCTGCTTCTTATTGTACTCCTTCATTGCGTTTTCAAGACCTTCTTCAAGGCGAGCGAATGCTATATTGACCTCTGCAGTCCAGCCTATTTGAGAACCCGTAAGAGCGATCTGTGCAGGATAGTCAAAGATCCACTGGTCACGAGGTTTTTCTTCATATGCCGCTACTGCATCTGCAAGTGTCAGCCTCAGAGTATGAACCATTTCGCTTAGAAGGCGATCCAGCCACTGCTCAACTTGGCCGACTAATGTAAAGGCAGAAAGGAATTTGACAATCTCACCGTCCTGAAACGGGATTAAAAGGTAGGTGTACAATTTATTTTAAGCAATCGTATATTGAAATAAATAAAATACTCACCTTAGCCTCCATCTTGTGAGCGGTTAAGGTAGTTCCGGATTTGGAGATTTTGAGATTACAAATGCTATCAAAAAGCTTGGATAAATGCTTAAACACCTTCTCGGGCATTTTTCCTTTGCTCACAATATCCATAAGGTCGGCCTGGGAAACAAAGTAGAAGCGCGGGAAGGCCAGTCGTTTGGCCTCTAAATAGACGGCTAATGCCTTTTCACAAAAGAAAAAGCCATCACGAACAGCTTGGATGTTATCAAATAGCTCTGGCTGACTCGTTGTGGCTTCGATGATTTTGGGCTTCTTTGCCATTTCTTGAATCAGAATTCGGAATTCCTTATCGTGAGCAAAAAACAGATCAACGTCTTTAGGCATTTGTTCTTGGATATCTTCGCAGAGGACAAAAATGGCTTCAAGACCCGACCAAACACGCTGAGTCTCAAACCACAAGGTAAGAACTTTGTCAGCAGTGAATAATATCTTGTTCCAGTAAGTAATTTTAACAATTGAGTATGCATTGTCTCTATTAGCCATCATGTCGAGTACTTTGACTTGGGTTTCTTCAAGAATTGTTGTGAGAGTTTCTGTCTGTTTGGGCAAAAGCAGTCCAGTGCGTTCGTGGGTTTCATATTCGAAAAACATGTTCTTCCAGATGGACTCAATCTTTGCAAGATCGCCCTCAATTTTCTGTTCATTCGACGCCTTTGAGACGATTCCGTGCACCTCATCTTCGTATTTGTGTAAATTCAGGGAAAGGAGGGCTTCTAGTGTGGTGTCGTCGCTGATGTCAATTACAGCACCAGTCTCCTGCATGAGTTCCACCCAGTGGCGATCCTTGACAGCGGGATTTTGCAAGTCACTGACAGCAGACACCGAAGCCCCTATGTCCTTCAAGGCGGCCTCCAAGCCCTTAAAAACTGACCACCGTTTGACATCCTTATCAACTGCCCGCAGCTCCAAGGAAACGTCGCGAATAACCTAAATTGGGAGTAGAAACTTCAGTTAAATCAGGGCTATCTATGCAAACAAAGCTTGGCAATAATTCATCAGCCTACATCTTCAATTGTTTCAAAGTCAACAGCCTTCCAAAGCTGAGTTTTCCACGAGGTTACATAGCTCTTGAAAGTATGAACCAAATCCCACATTTTTTTGTTGGCCTTCATTTCCCTCCTCATAGTCTTCAAGTCCACGTAGTTTGGTATATCTCTAACATCAAATGACTTGGCAGAAATCTGCATTGCAGCCACGCCTTCTTCCGTCTCACTTAGGCGAACATCCCACTACGAAATACGACAACAATGAAAGAAATGCCGAAGACATTGGAAAGAGTTGCAAAATTTCGCTTACCTTATCAAGCTGATTATAGGGGTCGGGACATTCATACAGGAAAATGTTTGATTCGGCGAACTCGCGTCGCATTACTGACACCTGTTCATCATAGACGGAACTTAACGTGCGGATATTTTGAACCTCCCTCTCCTGCAAGGGCTGCATCTTCTGTTTGGTAATCACAGAGCAGTTTTTCAACTCGTTCCATTGTTCTGGTAGCACCTTGAGTACACACCATAGTTTATATGCATTGGGTAATCAAAAGACCATGAGTGAAGGGCTATAAACTTACTTCTAAGAGCTTAATAACAGAATCGGGCAACTCTTCACCAAACTCCTTCAGTAAGGCAACTGTTTCCCTTAGTGGCTCAAATCCGGCGTCCGTCGCCTCCTCAGCTTCTCTGATAAGTTTTAATCGCTCGAGGATGGTGACCAACTTATCATAGGTAATTTTCTCGGCGGGACCCTCGAAGCTCAAGTCGACATTACTGTCGTGGATGAAAGAACTTAAACCACTCAATGTATTTGTTACATGGTCGACTAGGTACTGTTTGAACTTATCGCTCCATTGCCTAATTTCGCTAAGCAAAGCCACTTTGAAGGGCTTCAGGTCAACGCGCATCCAGTTGTCAAAGACATGCGCATCCTCTAGCTTTTCGACATCCTCAAAGACTTTGTCATACCGAAGAATGATTTCTCTAAATTGCTCCAGGGTGGGTGGGTTCTCTGGTGCAGTAATTTCGCCATTGCCATCCACGTCGTCTCGTGTCAGCAGTCTTCCGTACAGACAAAATTGACGAATAAACTCTCGCCGATCTTCGGCCCAGTAAAACGAGTAGTGTGATTCAAGATTTGCCTGGTACTCAGATGCAGCACGCATTACGGCTGTAACGTGGTCAGTGATTTTCATAATGAGGTCTGCTATTTCAGGGGTTTGCATGACCTGATTGGAAAAACCAACCCAATCTTTAATTGTGTTGGAGATCCGGACACTCTCCTCTGTGACTTTAGAGATCGTGCTCCCACTTTGTTGGAGTGAGTTTTCAGCTACAAGGGTTTCAGGGGGAGCGGCATTTTCTAGGTCCTCTGCCCCCTCTTTTTCGCCTTCCTCTTCATTCGAGTCGGCAGTGGCATCCAGCGATGCTGCTTCCTTGGCGAGTTCTTCCTGAGCCTTCAATTCGGCTGCCTCAATCTCGGCTTTAATGTCCGGCAGTGGTGGGTGGCTGGAAAGTAGGGGCACCAGGCGCGACTGGTCAGTAATGTCCTGCACCAAGCTGTCCACCAAGTCCATTAGACTTTCACCCTGAGCTTCTTGCATGGCTGGTGTAAATCTGAGTTGAGTGCTCTATAAAGAAGCGGAAGAAACAACTCGTTTGCATTAACTACCTACTAGTTTTTCTCGTGTAATGCATTCTAAACTTATACTTTATGACAGTGATGAATGGAGGAGCAAGCCATTCTCAATTGTCTGGTTGTTCTAGTTGCTTATCGTGCCAGTCATTTTTAGAAATTTCGAATGAATGAAACATCGATATAATTCATTTCGAATCATTGGTTTCTATAATTAGTTCATTTTAAAGTTTATCTCTGGAAAGTTGCAACAGTCTTTGAAAAGCATTGGCAAAGGGGTTTCCACTGGCTTGATAATGCAATAGAATGAAACTAGGAAAAATAAACTGACATCAATGATGAGTGTCCCCTGCATTATTGGCATTTCGGTCTTTGACTTGTCCGTGTGGTCAGAAAGGTAGGCCAAACTGCAACGAACCGCTTCCGTTAGACCTTCGAGAATTACATCTTCCATTGCTTCCTGATAAGATATCCACTCCGGCGAATCAGGGTTGGCTTTGTACAGATACATGTTTTCCTGAATATGGGAAATAATTGAAAACGATGGTTATGGAAAGGGTTACAGGTTTACAAGCTTGCAGGAGATATATTCTCTTCCACCATTTATTTCGTGAACAAAAGACTCGAACTCCTTGCCTTGATAAAAAAAGATCCTTGACCACGTTAGCGACACCGATTCTCATGCCACAGGTCACAGGGACAGTTTACTTTGATGAATTTCTGCGCCATTTGCCATTGGTGCACGACTCACTACTCGCCGTTGACATTAAAGGAAAAATGTTTGTTGAACAAATGCATGAAATCGATTTTTATTTTTACACCTTAGTAAAGAGTCGACAAAACGATGACCATGAAATGATAAAGAAAAGAGTATACTTTACAGCTACTAGTCGGAGAATCTTTTCGGCAGCATCCACCATCTCTCGGTAACGAGATTCTTTTATGTTTTCCCTATCCTCCAAGGGAATAAGGCAGTCATACTTCCTCTCCTTGCCTTGGTACAGAGGTATAGCATTCCACAACGAGGCCTGAATGCTTATTTTCTGTAAGTTCTCGTGAGCTGTGAGCACACGGTCACGTAAATCACCTATTATATCCAAGTTGGAGTCAATAAAGTCCATGTCGTCTTTAAAAAAGAAACAGGAAAAGTCTCGTTCGAATCTTATTACAAATTCCAAAATAATGGGCGGAAATGATCTGAAGGGGTACAATTTCTGGATGAAGATAAGGCTTTCAATCAGAAATGTGCTCAACGAAGGTAGTATTGACATCTGTGATTTCCAAATTACATTGGAATGCTTATAGATATTTAGTCTTACTTGACGTCGACACATTAAAGATACGTTTGGAATACGATAATACGCAAGTTTTTAATAATTTAGTGCAGCCTAGATAATTTCGTAATTTTAAAAGTTCAAATAAATTATTTTTTCTGAAGATTAGCTTAGGCTAAATCAAAACTTTGGTTAGCACTTAAAAACCATGTAAAGAAGTATCTCTATAAAATATGACATCAGTTTCGTGAAAAAGTTAATATTTTCCTATAAAATTACTAAACGCAAGTGTTGAACATATCTACACAAATTTATGAAGATTAAAACACATATTCTCAGTTGCCACTGAAGAGAGAGGATTTCGAATTATTCTCTGCTGCGTACCGTTGACCTCAAACGATCTTCACTCAATTTATTTGCGAATTTCGTTTACTGAGGTTTTAGCACACAACGTTAGTTCTGCCATTGTCTACACAATTCCTTCAAACAGTTGAACTAACGAACGCACTTCAGTAATCTTTGAACTGCATGCAATCAGTTGGGTACCTTTGGTAGTCTCTAACCGCAATTAAATGACAACCTCGGAAGAAAACCTCTGTCACCATGTCTCAGTGGAACAAGAATGTCCAAAATGCACACCTGTAAGTTGTGACAATTGCAGGTTTCTCTTAAATCTGTTTAACCCAACGTTTTAAAGGGGACATAAACTCAGCAAATCCAAGGAGAGCGAGGGTCAATCAATGAAGAAGGCGAGAAACCGTTGCAGATGCAAATCTGGACGATTAAAACTGTATAATCATGGGTGAGACCAAGGCTGATCATGCGTCGCTTTAACAAAAATCTTAATTTAATTAACTCTACAGTATGGGTGATCCTTTAAGCGTTGAACAAGGTTCAGCGTCGTTTGAGCGTTGACTCATACAAAACATGTGGTCCATAATAGAAACGAATGGAAGAAATTTGTTCAGATTTAGAAAGAGGAGGAAGTAGTGGCTATCATCGATGGAGTGTAGTTTATGGTAAATGTGAAGATATAGACACGAAAAAGCGTAGGTTTTGAACAGGGCGCAAGTTAATAAAATTGGTGTAAAAAGGATTTCACTTTTAATAACCTGTTTTAGGAGGTGTATATAAAACCTAAATATCGTTTCAAAACTGAAATTTACTGACACAAAGAGATAGACTTACGATTTTTCCAGGTAAGATTCTTGAAAGCAGGAGCGAGTGACTTGTCGAATGCCTCGACTTCCGTCGAAATCAGAGGATATTCTACGGTGTAAGTATGCTGACGGACGGTGTTATAAGCGTTAGCAATTTGATTTAGCTTAAGGTGGGCCTCCCTAAGGGGTTCGGCTTCCTCAAAGAGCTCCAGCGTTTCGGAGGGAAGCTTTTCTTTGATCTCGTCCACAGGTTTTGGAATGAGTCCTTCGAAATCAGGAGGCATTTCTTGATCACAGACGCCCTCCCCACTCATCTGCAGAAGGTAATGTACCTCACGCAGAATTTCAATTAACTGATTGTCGAAATTGACCTCCATAAGGAGAGTACCTGGGTCTCTCTTCAACAGGGGCAGTTTTAAATTAACTTGGCATTTTTCAGGAGCCGATTGACAGAGTTCGTCAAGCTTTCTTTTACGAAAACTGCAAAAATACAAAATTTGTTATTCACACTACCAGGCGTAGAACATTTGGAGTAATTATTTGAATTATGGACCTACTCCGCCAGAAGAGTGGTAAGTTCTTCATATTTCTGCCTCAATTTATCTGCACGTTCTGTCTTCGTAGCTCTATAAACAAAAAGTCCTATTACTGTAATCGTTGCTATCAAAATTTCCAAATTTGGGGCAAGACTATACATGGAATGAGGATGTTTTGACAATACAAGACTTTCTGTAATTTTTTTCGGAATTGAATGAGTATTCAAACTCGAAATCTGACGTTTAATGAGAGTCTTTGCTCCCATATTTATGACCTAGTGAGTTGGAAAGTTAATTGTGTAGCAATTTACCGAAAGAAATTCGAATTCCAAGTTTACTTATTAGAAAAGAAGGAGAATCATTCACAAGACGATGGCCGCTTTCCAAGCTGGTGGCGGGTTGACAGTTCTGGGTCAATACAATCAGAGGTATTGCTGCATCATAAAATGCTGGGTGGCTTAATGTTTAAGAGAGCAAATTTTGCTTAATCCATGGAAGAAAATGAAACCTTTATCGATGAATTTTTCCAGAATTGAAAGTTGATGGTTCAAGGTCGGGTTTAAGGTTAGATAATAGCTTCAAAGAGACAAAGGCTTAGGTCTGTATCGCAAGCCCTTATAGCAGTAGAAATGGAGAATGAAGTGTAAATGTCATGGCAGCATACAGCCCACTATCGTCAAAAGACGGGTATATGAACCGCAATTAAAGTGTCAGAGGCCGGCAAATTTTCAAGGCCATGCCGATCAACGCAACTGAGTCCAAGCTTGTGCCATGAAAATGTTGTGAGGAGAGGCCATTACGGCCTAAACTGGGGGTGCCCTTACTGACCTTACATTGATTTCATTATATATTATTCGTCTACGTAGTATTAAAATTTACTACCTTGTAAATAAAAGTAGCTATAAGTACCACTTTAGACCTTTGGGATCAGTTTTCAAAGTACCCATTTAATAGTTCGTCATGATTTAAAAAAGTGTAATCTAATTTGTGCGTGTTGCATGTCGATGACTTGAAGGTAAAGCTTAATCTGGGTCGAAATTAGTTAAGGCTTCAGGGAAAAACACAACAAGCCACTTTTCTGTTATTCTACGACTTACTCAAAGTCGCCTCCACTGACCCATAAGACCAGTCATAACTGTGGCTATAATACGATATTTTGGGATTGTGGTGGTAGGCAAACAAAACTACCTAGTGGTGACATTTTCATCCACTTCGGTTTCACCGTGTTGAGTTTAAGAGGGTTTGTAACTTTGCCGCTTAGGGGGGGAGCCGTCAACATCACACCGTGTCCGATATTTTTTCATTCACTTAAATAAACCTAGTCAATGCGCATTCGGACAGTTGAGCCTACTTCGAATTAAACAGCTCGGAACTGGGATTGCGTCGAATTGGTAAAAGATAAGTCAAAAGTTATGAAACACCTATTACTTGTTACGTTTCATTCGCCTAGCTTAGAACACTTCAAGTTAGCTCTAAAAAAGATCGGAGAGATAAAGAAATGCTGCAGTCGGTGTCTGAATAGCAGACCAGCTGATTCCGAATCTCTAAATAAACATGGCAAAACTACACGAACTCACAAATGGTCGATATGGCGAAGAGGACTCATAAGGGCCTCGGCTCTTCTGAGAAGTTGCATGGACCAGGCCATAGCCCCCGAAGCTGGTGGTAAATTTTTAAAAATAGCTTCTTTTAGCATATCTTGACTGGCTAGATGCCTGTCCAAAGTAAGCTTGCACTCGTCCAGATCACTATGCATAAATTCAATGAGTTTGTAGAAACAGTGATCAATTTTGGGTGCAATAACTGGCCTAGAAAGCAACGGCCCAAACATAAAGATGGTTTTGAATGTGGACGCAGCATCGGGACAGTCACTGAAATTCTTGAGTACGATGGTGGTCATGCGATGGTCAAAATCTTCTATCACGTGGAAATATTTGCCAACCTTTTTCAAAAAGACGTCATTTTCTGTCGACAGACAATCCATATTGAGATCGGTGAAATTTTTGTATGCGTCTTGATATTCCTTGTAAAGATTCGCCAAGTGTTGTGAAAGTGTAGCACCAACTACACCAAGTGCTTCAACCTTTTCAAGGCGATTATAGTCGGTGTTGCATGTAAAGAATTTCTGTAAAAAATTAATTACAAGACGCATGGGTAAGCAAAGAGTTGATTTTTGCTCTACTCAATGGAACAAGTAAATGAAGCAAAACCCAAATTAGAACGAGGCACATTTACAATCGTCATCCGCTGGAGCCTGGATCACTCCAAAAGAACGTTAGCTTTTCCTTCAATCCACTGCCTATTCAGCATTAACCATTTAGGTAAAAATATTTCATATGTTTAAATTTAACTAACGGCGAGCTAAAGCCACGATACGAAGACCTCGATTTATTTATTAATTGTCCGATTGTCTCGATACACCAAATCAAGAGCATTACTTTAACATGAAAACGTAAGCTTGCTTACTGTCATTACGTCTCGTACATCTATAAACCAAAATGGAACCCACGAACCTTTATAAGTTCAAGACGCTGAATGAATGCATCAATACGACTGAATACCCAAGAGGAGTGAAAAACCCATTCTGAAGGTTCAACACCCTGTTGAATGCAGGATTCCTTTACGTTCGTTCTGTATTCATCAACAACGAGCTTAAAGTAATTGAAAGTGTCTAGAGCTTCGTTAATTTTCTTCATTCCACTATCTGGTTCCTCCTTCACTATCTCTGAAGGATCAAGGTATGTTCGACACTAAAATGTGAAAGAACAAACTATGTGACATAGGAATAAATATGACGATGGCTTCAACATGTTTGTAAAAACTTCTTCGGTGCTGCTCGGTACAATTTTATTTCTTACTTGTTTGCGGTATCTGACCTCGGATAGACTTAACAAGTCGCTCAAATTTGCAGAAAAGCCGATCGAAGTCACCACAATTTTATAAGAAACTTTTAATTCTGTCTACAGTTGATGCACGTGGTTTCGTATGCGGAATGTTCTTGTGTATGCTTTAGCAAATTACGCTAAGAAAATGGGGAGACGGTTGTTAGTGAATTTCTCCTCTAATGTCAAATCCATGGCTGCATATCTATGTGAGTGCGCACTAATCTGACTAAACACCCTTTATTTTAGGTTTTTTCATCTTTTCATCGTAGAAGTTTCTCCGAAATGACGACTATTGTTGGAGTATATGATGAAAAAGGACTCACCTGTTGTATAAGAAGGTTACCGATCTCAGTGATCAAAATGACCATCTGTTCTGTTTTGCGGTAGTACTGACAGTTGACCCAAATCAAAGCCAGCATGTGCACAATGGGCTGGATGGCCGACCTACACTCATCAAAAGCAGTGTTTTCCAAGTCATTGAGGTAATTCATTAATGGAGTCAAAAAGACCACGATGGTCTCAGACTCAACAACAGCTAAAAAGACAAATGACAACAAAATTGCACCCCAGTAATTCCGTGTTTGATTGAAACTATTATCAACCCATTGCACGATGTTGGCTGTTGCACTTTTTGTGGGTTATTTTGCATGGAATATCATTTTTGATTAATATCTGGCTGCTATCGAACGTGTTTTCGCCAGCCGTCGTAATGGGGACATAGGTCGACGTTTGGAGAAAGCTAGTGGATGTCTGTTTCATGTGCGTGAGGCATAAGCACCGTGAAAATCTTGGTATAAACGGAAAGTCAATTACGGCAATTCCATTGTAGCAACTAGCAAAATCAAGGGGCATGTCTTGGATTTTTAACAGCTTCCAAGGATTAATGCACACGACTTCTGGACTAAAAGGTTAGAAGTAGTCTGGCACAATCTGAGTGGATACGAACGACATTTTTCTCTCATATGTACACTCAAAGGTGATTTTGACACGAAGCTAGTTATTCTAATTGCAGGTATTGAGGCAGGATTTTTGCATGCAATTGTTAACTTAAGTGGGAAAAAGTTCACGTTGTGTGTTGTTTTTACTTAAGCAAATTACTAGCTCCTGACACTGTATGGTGCTCTGATCCTTTGCGATAAATTAATAGCTCGAAACAGTCGGCTTGGCTGTCAGATTCGAACGAACCTCGAACCACTTTCTTGAACATTTCCTTAAATGAGGCTGAGTAGGCGGATTCGTTTTGTTCCAGAATGATTGCCATCTTTTTGACCTGGGGATGAACGAGCTGGTCGTAGATGTCGTGCATGCAAGTCATACGTTGGCGCCAAAACTCGTATTCCTGGATGGGCAAAGGAAACTGGCCCTCCACGGTCAGTTGCCCTGAGTGTTGCTCTAGGCACTCGTTGACCTGGTTACTCCACTCCACCACTGCAGTCTCCATCGAGTACATCATGCTCCCAATCACATCTTCACCCCTTGATTAAGTAAAAGTTAACTTATGCACCGATTAAACTATTGCTTCTTTCTGTCGGTAGTGGGAGAGCACATTTAGCAGATGCCTTTTCCCATGCCCGTGTACTTTCAAGTGGACATCAAACTAGTTATTGAGGTTTGCAGTGAAGATATTATAAAACGAATCTTTTTCTCACACAAAAAAGATCATTATCCTCACTAAGTTACTAGTACATAAGGAAACATTACTTGATTTACTACATAGTACAAATTACTGTTTAGAAATGCTCTTATTTTAGTGTTCGCTATGAACGGAGCTATGGTGGTAGGGAACTTGTTCTGCTTCCAACTTTTATACACAATGACTGTTTTGAAACATATTCTCTTCAGAAAGTCAAAATTCGTGCATGTCTTCAAAATAGCTCAATAGATATCATTGTAAAAACCTACATTATTAGAATGGTTTAAATTTAAACAGGATAAATTTATCAAAAGGCCCCGTTTAGTTTAAGTGTCAGCTACATTTGCAAGACAAAGAAATTTCGATTTTCACTGTTCTCTACATTAAAGTGAGCGGGCTATTCATGAATTAGTTGTGCAAAAATTTGAACTTTCTTGGGTGCCACAAAATTTTACTAATTGACAATAGATATGTGTGCACTTGAGGTGAACTTAAAGTTTCGAATTCGGCAATCATTTAGCTAACAGCTAATTATACCAATGTGATTTCTGAGGTTATTTACTTTCAAATAGACTAAGGTAAAGTCATTAAATGAACAAACAATAATGCGTGTCTACAAAATTTAAGCATGATTAAAATTCGTTATAATTTGAGGCGTAGCAAACGTATAAGAAATTGAAACTAGACTTATAAAAAAACGGTGCTCACTTTGACGCAACAGGATCCTGTCCATCAACCAATTTGTCTAGTCCAACTGGATGAGCCAGATACGTTTTACCCTCCATTCTCGCGAGTACGAATTCAGATTTCTTTTGTAAATTGTAAAGGTCCCTCTTAATATATTCATTCAGTGAATCTGGCCAATCTTCACGGTTTTTTTCATTAAGAACGAAGGGAGAAAGCACCTGGTGCAGGTAATAATGTGAACAAACGCCTTACTGAATTAACAAACGCAATGAAATGGTGAATGGGAGATTTATGCAAATCCCCACAAGTTATGCCTGCTTTTAATTGTTGAAGTTCTGCGTTTCTCTCAAAACTGATTTTACTGTTCTTCCTAAAGTAGAAACCTTTGCTCTTCATAACGCCGGGAAATGCGTTGTATATCTCCAGAGTCGCAGAGGTTGCTGCCACAACTACTAATAACTGCTCTTCCTGGTTTTCAAAGAAATCAGTAATTTTATCTATGAGAGCTGTGTCTTCCCTCATCTTTAACAATTTTTCCACCTTTGTATCCGTCATGCACAATATGTACTCAAAAACAAAGCGCAAGCGCATATCATCAAGGTCTTCAAGCGACATTTTCGTCACTGACGCCTAGAAAACGTGGGGTCAATGCAAAAATCCACTACAATTTTTAAATAGGACTGGCATTGATTTTTTTCCAGAGCCTACACGTGACATATGTGGCTCTTGTTACAAATGATTTTTACAGTTCTAAACATCTATGCATTCATCGAAACTAGTTTTTGCGACATAGCGGTGGTTTGAGAAATGAGGTCGGTCAAATTCCTTAATTCAGTATTCATCCTAGCAAATTTTAATGTTTGATTTTCAATTTTTTTGCACTGTCTTTATGGCTACACAAAAATGACATCACAATTGTGCGTAACAACACTTGGCTTCATTTAAGCTAGTTAAATTATAGTCCCAAATGCGATGTTATTGTAGCTCACTACGTGGTGGCGCCAACTTCTTTAACTTATTCTTGACAAATACATAAGTAAACATAAAAGTCCCCCTTTTTTTAGATGGAAAGATTTTAAAGTTTACACAATTCCCCAACATATGCACTTTTGTATTGACTTTTTATTAATGTTTCTGAGAAGTAAGCATCAGAATCAGATTCCTGTTAGGGGCACTGAAAACACCGAGATTAGTACACAGACCCAACAAACACGGGTGTGGTGTCTGTGAGTTAAGATATTTCGTGCACACAGACAATCCATGATTAACTTGAACTTAAAGAAATGATACAATAAGATCTGGCGACAAGTTCAAAGCCAAGTTGAAACCATTTACATATTTGGCAAAGTAGAATCTCCGAAAAAAATGACTTAAACAAGAATTTATTTATTAAGCCTTTGAATTGGGGAACCGCCTTTGTTGGAGCGTATTCTGAAACCAAATACCATGATAAATATATACTTTTTCAAATTAATTTAATTAGATCCTATCAACTCAGGTGAAATTATGAGACAAAAGGGTGCCATTTCCTTTGAGTTAGAGTACAAGTTACCATCAGTCCGCGGATAAATACTGCACTTATACATAAAACAAGGAAATCAAAGTAAACACGTAATTTGCGTCTCCCAGAAATTCACGAATTCGAACTTTACCAGACGTCATTACCAGCGGCGCATGATGTAGAAGTTGAATGATCCATAACTTTGGATTGATTCAGTATATATGTTCAATTGTGGCCATTATTAGTATTTGGATTTTCAGCCTCTGATAAATGTACAGACAACTTCATGCTATTCCAATAGTTTTTGAGGTGGCTGTTTTGTATTGAACACATCTAACCTGCCTGATAGTTTCTTTGACAGTGAAAATTTCCTCACCATTATAGGTCACGTTGCTGCAGGTAACCCTACAGGCCATCCTAATGACTAAGTTCTTTGAGAAGATTACTAAATACATTAATCAAATTATTTAGAAAGCAATTCATCCTGAGCAGCCGGTGAAAACCATGTGTGCAGGTGAAAGAGATCTTGTTAATGTAGATTATATACAACTGTTCCTCTATAACATATTTAAATAACAAAAAAAGAAACAATCATCTGACTCGGATATTGTCCGCAAACAAAAGCACGCGTATGGAGAACCAGTACACAAACCCTCTTCTAATGCAGACCCCACATAACAAGTACAAAACAAAGACAAGACCCCATACGGAGTGCTTTTACAGTCAATGGAGGACTGTGGATAGGGTGGGACACTTAAGTGACGTGATGGGGAATCATGTAAACGAGGATGAATTCCAAATACAGATGAAGCACCTTGGGGAATGCCTGTTCCCATTTCAGAAATATAGTCAATAATCTATTGTACAATTTACGTGATCACCAACCCGCTTCCACACCCTTCAGAGAGCATCCGTTTATTATATAAATTTTCATAACCACACAACTACAGATGTGATAAAAAGCAGTGTCCGCTGAGTGAATAAAGGTTTAGGCCAGCATCGGCTCACTGCCTTCTCACTAAACCGCTTGTCGTCATGTACTACGTGAGTAGCAGCGTAGAAGTTCATAATTTGCTAATAATGACATCGACGTAATATGGCTTAAATTATGACTCCCACCAAAAATGAATTTGTTGTAAGATATCTGCTACACAACAGAATTTCCGAAAATTTGCTACTGATTCGACACCGTTGGTTGATGAGTTTAAAGAGACTGGAGAATTCGTTATTTGAAAATTTAGTTTTTTTATTATCAATACGTCTTATATAAATCAGACTTCTGTGACACGCAACCAACTTATTAGTTTCAGACTGCTGCAGAACATGCTTTTCGTGGGCTTGAGAATTGCGTCATGGTTACTGTGGTGTGTTGTGGCGTCGGATCAGGGCGCAGACATGTTGGACCGCCTGGCCTCAGCCAATCCCGTGTCTCTCTGCGATCCAATGGCATGCGGGAAATGAAGGCAGCCAACCAGAGAAGGACAGGACTGAGGAGCAGTATATAACGAGCGGCGTGGCCAGCGTGGTGGACTCGGATGGAAGGCGCCTGACGCGTGGCTCTGGCTTATGATTGGTCAATAAAGCCTGTTCTGTTGTACCAGTCTTTTACCCATTAGGGCTCGGGTATTCTACAGTGGCGTCGGATTAGGGCGCAGACATATTGGACCACCTGGCCTCAGCCAACCCCGTGTCTATCTGCGATCCAATGGCATGCGGGAAAGGAAGGCAGCCAACCAGAGAAGGACATGGATGAGATGCAGTATATAATAAGCGGCGTGGCCAGCGTGGTGGACTCGGATGGAAGGCACCTGACGCGTGGCTCTGGCTTCTGATTGGTCAATAAAGCCTATTCTGTTGTACCTGTCTTTTACCTATTAGGGCTCGGGTATTCTACAGATTCGACGCCTCAGGGCGCAGACATATTGGACCACACTGGCCTCAGCCAATCCTGTGTCGCTCTGCGTTCCAATGGCGTGCGAGGAAGATAAGCAGCCAACCAAAGAAGAACACGACTGAGGTGCAGTATATAATGAGCGGCGTGGCCAGCATCGTGGACTCGGATGGAAGGCGCCTGGCTTCTGATTGGTCAATAAAGCCTGTTCTGTTGTACCGGTATTTTTCCTATTAAAGCTCGGGTATTCTACAGTTACCATGGTAATCGAGGGCATAAATTGTGTGGTGCACATTCATGATTGATATTAAAGCAGAAATACCTAAATTTCAAGAAAAAATCAAGACACTGTTGTTGCTTGTGGTCAATTATCTTACAGGAAATTCTCAGATTTCATTGATAAGAGGAATCTTGTGTTGTTTCGATTGCTCGATTTTCAATCAATGTCCCACGTAAAGATATCTACAAACTGATTTATGCTTTTTTGACTCTCATTGGCACACTATATATCCATATGCATCGACATATATCGCAACACACAATGTATACTTTAATCAATTTATGATTCATAGTACTGCCACCCACTAAAAACCACTAGGGCAGAACCATGGACCGCAAAACTTTGTAGCTGGTTTTAACCGGGGGTAGAGGTATGTAAGTTAGACATTGTGCATATTTGTTTTATTAGCCTATTGCAATCTAAATGCATCGAGAGTAAGCATGGCATTAAAATATGTATATTCAAACATGTATATGACGTTAAAGTTTGCATAAAAAAAAGGAAATAGCATCTGGCAAGACAAAAAAGGCATAAACATTCCAAATAAGTAACACAAGACCATAAATCAAACAACAAACAGCATAAACTTTCACATGTACGTGTGTGCTTTTCTGCTTAAAATCAGGCAGAAAATGCACAAAGTTAATTTTGCTAATGTCAGCATCACCTTGCATACAGACTAAATATCTTAATATTCTGAGTTAAACTGTTACAGAAAAGAAAATTTTGTTTTGTCATGTCGAAGTTGTTTACTAGACGTTAGGCGCGCCATGGGAATGGTGACGGCGTCTCTCATTTTCTTGTCACTTAGTCGATTTGCATCATGTTATAATTTCTGGTGTTACAATTGTTCCAGTGCTCAAAGCGGATGTGGGCCACCAATTGATATTCGTACGGAACATTGGAAATACTGTTCCGGGGCGCCGGTTTATGAGCAAATGTGCGTAAAAATTATTGAAAAAGTTAATGGTAAGTAGCTCAGCGTTTCGACTTATTTTGGCTTAAAATACTCAAGAAAAACATAGGCCTTACACAATGAGTCACTGCTTTGGTTTATTACAGTTGTATTCATTGTCGGTTATGGGAAATTTCCTTCAGAGGTGTCATTAAAGAGCAATGTGTAAAATTAGACATTAAAAAGTGCCTTTCTCTACAGCAACATCTAACGAATGAATTAATACTCATGCATGACAATTTCGAGAAATATTGGACCTTATATTGAAAAACGGTAGGCCAACATTTGTAAGTCTAGTTCAGTGTTCGGTTATTGACTTCACATTTTTTTGATTTTATTGTATCATATTATCGAGTGCTCTTTACTGGAGAGGATGCTGCATTTACTGCAAGTCGCTTCATGGCTGTCGTAGGAGGAACCCCTTCCATCCGCCTTATCTTGTTATTTTAACATAAGGATCGATAACCTATCATCAATTATAAGACCAGCCGGTTGTTTTTAATGCCCGTCTGGTCTTGTTAGTAGTAGTCACTATCAATTTTTGCCGTTCAACAAGCGTTTATTTCTGCTCTGGCAACACGGCTTACTCTAACTGCCAGTACCCGTAGCTGTTCATCAATTCATCTGCCTTTTACACCATTGAATTTTGTGAGTATTTCGGAAATGTCTGCTTTTTAGATGAACTTGATGTTAAGGTTTCGTATTATTTACACGCTTTATTTAACATTCGCACGTGGTTTTCACTAACTTGTTTAATTTATAAATCAAACCAATCGATATCAAACCGCAACATATGTTCACTAGAATCCTGTGAATATTCTGCTTTGGAATTGCACCAAAACATTAATACATGTCAAATTAACTGTAACACTGTCGTGAATCGTGTTTATTCAATCCCTTCATCCGGTCGCTCCACCTCCTACACAGGGTTCCCCTTTTCGCAGCATGTGGCTAGCCGCACGAATCCTCAACTCACCCTTCATTAGCACAAATATTTATCTCGGAGTATCCCCACACCTAGGTCTCGATGTTAGCGCATGTTTGACTCACACATCCGAGGTATAAATACACACGCTCAAACCCCACATACGACACAACCACACCAATGAGGTTGAGCTATGAAGCAAATGGTTGTGTCCGTCCTCTCAGGTCTTTTCCTTCATTGCGGGTATCAGGGAAACGTAATCAGGCCAGAGTTTATTCCGTGGCTCCGGCGTGGTTCAAGACCACAAGCCGGGGCCTGTAACAACATCTTTAACAAAATAAAATGGCAATTAGTTCAAAGCAGGTAATATCCTGGAAATATGATGACCGATTTTGCAATTAGTTTCCGACTACTAGTCGTAGGAACAGGAACAAAATAGGATGCATGCTTCCACTGGCTGTCCTTACCAGAAACACTGTAAACTTTTAATCAATCTTTTTAGTTCCACCACTTACAAAAGCTGTTTTATGTCTCCAACTATTGCACAGGGTCAATAAAAAACTGTGCTACAAGAGAATGCTAGGAGCATGTTAGCTCTCATTCCCCATGATTTTGAATAAACAAGTTCGACACTACCAACATTCACAGTTTGAAATATTGGTGTGTAGGCTACTGACTTAAAGCTAGCACAAGCAATCGTAACAGCCAGTAATGTTGTGCATCCTTAAAGCTTATATTTTTTTCATCTAGACCAAGTGCAAGTGACTCGTGGTTGCCTTAGTGACCTTCTCTTAACATCACAAATTCGGCTCGACATGCCTAAGGTGAGACGACATGGGTATTGTCTCTACTCCGCCTCGAATCAACGCTACCTCCAAAAACATCTCCGCGGAAGCGAACTTGCGCTTTGGACAATGGGAGTACTTCGACCGGATGCAGAGATGTACAAGTTATTTTGTTTCTGTGATGACTGGCCAGGATGCAATTCAAAGGACGGAATACAACACCGTTGGTTACTTATTAGTACAACTACATTTACTAGCTACATTTTAAGCCGTCTATAACGCACGAAATTATCCGACCACAACCATATACAATCGGATATTCATTTATTCGATTATTCGCTCCATTAGCCTTTTGTACTAAATTGCAGCCCTTGTAAAGCATTAATGTGTGTACCTGTGAGTGTAAAAACTTTTGATTATGGATGTCCTGAAACAAGTGAACACATGGCTATCAGAATGGAGATCACAGAAGATAATGTCAGAGACGAGAAGCCGGAAGTGTGTACTTCAGGCGCGAGTTTTCAAAAAGCATCACAAACTGGATAATATGGTCCTGCACAATATCTGAAAGAATCAAAGTAGCAAGGTTAAAAGTGCGCCAACAAAGCTTTACCAAATTTTGATCCTCGATAATACAATAGGGCGACCAGACGGACTCAACCACCTAAATAACATGGAACCAAAACAGTTTACATGGTCGCTACATTGGGTGACATTGGCCAGGGCAACTGTAGTATTTTATGCAACAGAGTTAGGAACGTGAATGCTTATCTTCTGCATTTAAAAGTGTAACACTTGGTGCAACTCTAAACTAAAATTTGCGCTTACTCATCATAAGTTGAAACCTGGTTCGTCGGCTTAAATGTAGCCAAAAGATATATTAAAATAGGTAGAAACCATAAACCTAAACCTCTTTGAAATTCCATAGCCACCTAGTTTTGCATTGGCGTAATAGGGTTCCGATGGCTTTAGTAAAACGACAACTAATTGTGGTGTTGTTAATGCAACAGGTTTAGTGTTGCTTTCGCGGTAATATCGGGCCCGCATGCATTCCTAAGCTTAGTAATAGTCGCATTTTTCACATTCCAAACTTACTAGCATGCAACACTTCAAGAATTATGAGAAGGAGCGGAACATATTTTAAAAATATATTATTAGCGCAGGAATTTTGGAGGAGGCGACTGAGACGTAAAATTATACATATAAGGAGACAAAATCTTTTAAGGTGCGAAAATAAAAACGCAATCAAAATCGACACAATTGGAGACTCGATAACTTACTACAGACAAACCAATTAGGTTGAACCCGTGCACAGGAAAGAAGCTGTCCGAATCGGCGAATGTCTAAAGTGGCAGAAAAAACGGAAATCGCCGCATCTTCCCCAGTCAAAGCCTCACCTTCCGGCAGGTGCCAGTCACGTGCCCGCAGCCCTCGGAAGGTGAGGCGTACACGAGCCAGGGTCTCCATGTTTATTTCCAAGCAAAGGTCACCAGCGCCGTTTGCCTTGATGGTCTGTATTCAAAAACACCCATTGCTCAAGGATGTGAAGTCATGGTTGAAAACCACACGCACATAAGTTTGGTCCGACACGTTTATGAAATCGAGAAATTCAAAAATCAAATATCCAAAAGAACCTTTGATTGCGAAAAAAGACTTACAATGAACCTTGCAAAGCGTTTCATGCGGTCGACAAAGACACGAAGGGTTTTCACAGGCGGAAGAAAAATGCTCAACTAGAGACAAAAATTAGTAGAAAATGAATAACAACGGTACAGAAAAAAGACCCGATGCTTACGTCAAAATCTGGATCAGGAGCCTCTTCAAAATCCGACCAAAGTCGAAGTGAAAGAATGTGCACTGGAACAAAGTGCCAGACTGCCCTCGAGCGACCACTTATACTGGCCTAAAAATGGAGGCCAAGTCAAGACGAAAGTGAACCAGTGAAATACCTGTTCAACTTCCAGCGCAAGACACGGAGTTTTTCGTCTGACCAGTTTGATTTTCAAGCTTCTTGCAGTGTTGACGAAGCTATGAAGCGTCGTTTGTCCACGAGGCAACGTGAACCCCGAGCTCCCCACCGCGGTGTGCGTCTGCGAACCAAGCCCTCCACCTCCTAGACCGACGCCTGCGGCACCGGTGCTTCGCAGGCAATGCAAGATCTGTTCGGGAATTACTTCAAGCAATATCTCGTCCTGTTCCGGTGAGAGACCCTCGCACACACTGTCTGAGAAGACGCTCGCCTTAAACCAAGAGTGTATGTATGTACGTTGCACGTGTGCATTTACTGAAAATAAACAAGGAGACGGTTTGTCAAATCACCTGTTCAATGTCGCACCAAGCCTCAGCGCCGCCTTGGACGTTGCGCTCACGCATAATGAAACTCATGCTTTCTTTTCTGATGCGAAGGACACAGCCTTTAGCCAATCCCGCGACCATCTGAATTGTGTCTGAAGAAGAGCAGTTGAGAGTGGGCTAATGCACAAGCAAGCATTCATAATGGGTTGATAAAACGAACATTCACCTGCAAAATAATCAATGGACCCACTGTCGTTGGACCAAACCCGGAACTTCATGATATCTAAATGAAGTAAAAAATTTTTCTTAAATTGAATCACACCCTGACGTAAACAATCCTTGAATACTTCGCAATCCGGCCAAGCTGATTACATGTACTATAAACATGCCATTTTGCACCATTTTCCTGGGGATTCTGTACAAATGACCATGAATCATAAGTCACGCCGTGAATTAAACCGTGGAAAATGATGGTTTCATCAAGGTAGTGGTGTCATCCAGTGAAAGATAAGAGAAACAGAGCATTGTTGAGCTTTCTACAGCTTCAAAGTAGCTAACTTCAAATGCGCCGCAGTTTGGAAAATTCTACGGCCGAGTGAAGCTATTGGGCATACTCTAGCTTCCACACGAAAAGCTGAGAGTTCAACCAGCCTAATTGTTTGTAAGGAGTAATAGCATTATTTTAACACCAAATGAATTAAAAATGTGCTTGAGGTATTGGTTTACGGTACCTTTGACTTGAACGGAAGTGTATAATTTGGTAAAAGCGTTTTGCCTAAACATGAGCTCCGGAAATTTACGCTTTTATTAAAGTTATGGATCTGTAAAGGACAACCTTACTCATTGAAACGGACAATCCATTATATTATTACAAAAATCTTGCTTCTATACGTTCCTTTACTAATAGTCCACAAGAAACTTGAGAATTCGATAATTTGGGCACAGTTAAATTCTGATGGCTCTTCACAAAGAGGGTAGTGAATGACTGCCCAACTAGATCTACACTGGAACCGTTGCCAGTGTTGCTGACATTGCCATGAATAATGAATGTAACTAATGTGCAAACAGTGAAAAGAGCTTCTTGGAAGTGGTCATGTGTGTATAAGGGATTCAGGTATGTAAACACGAGGCACAATTCTATCCAGCAAAGAATACAAGTGCATACACGTCTTAGTTACGACCGCAACTCAAAACCCATCCAGGGTAATTCCAAAAAGCGGTTTGTTAACACAGTCACCGAATGAGACGGTTGCCAGGATAAAAATTATTGCTCCGTAAGCATATTAAAGAACATCATATATTTAGTTTAATTTAATAGTCCCAATTCCATAGATACCTCTGTAAGTTGACCAAAACATTTTCAATCTCAACAAATTAATATTTTGGCTCAAGGATCCCCACTCATAAGGAGTTACAGGGAAGAACGTTATAGTTAAGTCGGGTGGAGCCACGATCAGAAAAAAACCTAGGTAGTCAGGTCGGGAAAGATCAGACAAGAAGCAGTAAAAGGATTATATACACAGGACTTTATTTTAGCAATATACAAAAGCATCAATAGGAAAATATAATTACATAATTACGTAAATTAAAGCGAATTCGCAAGTCGGTATTTGTTATAAGGTAAAAGGTTTCGATGAAGAATTGAATCTGAAACAAAGGAAAAAGCTTTTACTAAATAAGGCTCATGAAGAGACATCGAGGTACGAGTGACACGACCTCTAAATCTGGATGCATTGAATCCGACTTGCCTGGGAACATAAGAACTTCCGTTGTGCACAAATATGGTGAGGTTGACCACTAGTTAAGCAGTAATTCAAGCATAAGGAAACTCGTATCACTTTCATATTGAGGAAGTTTAACGCTAAGAACATCTGCAACATTGACTTGAGTGCTCATGTTGCCAAGTCACGGTGGGGCATTTTAAAACGCCCTAAAGCATACTCTAATCAGAATTAGGCCAGAATGACGAAAAAGGCCATGAAAGGAGACCCCAAGATTTGATCAATTAATCGCTTTCTTTCATGACATCACAGATACCTGTTTGTGATGTACTACATCCAGATATCAAAGACCGAACACCTTCAAATGTGTGCTACATAATGCTCTTGACTTGTGGTAAGACAAATATAAGCGACTCACCTAGCAGCCATTTCGGTGTAACACACGGCTTTTTCTTGTCCATTTGACCGATAATCAAATCTGCGCCGATCGTGCGTTTTGATATCTAAAAAGTAGCAACTTTTGGTAATCATTCGCTACTGAAGTAAGGCTATTGTGAGGAAATAAATAACTACCAAATACTAGTTTGACCTCCGAGACCCTAAGATTTATGCAAGAATTGAACGACAATCAAAGGCAGTCAGAAAGGAAAGACAGATCAAAGAATTGCACCATAAAAATAAGAAAAAAGACTGCCTTTCGGTTTTGGAACCACGAAGCTCAAATGTAGGAAAAGCCGGCAGTCATTGTACTAAGTGTGCATTGAGCAAGTAGGAAAGAGGATCTTGCTCTTGTATTCAGGCTTTAGAATAAACTTGCAAGAACCACAAAGTCCCATTACTTGTTTTCAATGGATGATTCGAACTATAAAATCAGAACCGTTTCTACTAGCGTTTTAATTGGTATACTTATACAGGGAACCCACAAAAATGTCTAGCAAAAACTAGAAGAATTAAAGCAGTAATGACACCGGCAACTTACAGAGCCACCACCCATTTTGATGATTTCTTTAAGATCCGACGAAGAAGGAGAAAGTCCAGGAGCCACAAAAATGTTGCCCACTGTGGAGAAGAGCTTTCGCAATTCAGGAGCCACCTCTGAGGGGGGTAAACCCGCGACCTATACGCGTAAAAGCAAAAGCGTGGTCAGATGATAAGACATAGGTCAGGAACAATAATGGCAATGAACTTCAGCCTGGCAAGTTCCTGTGACATATGGAAATAAAGTGATAGGAACTATGCATACACATGCTGAAACTTTATTTACCGAAGAAGTAATACACTCACAAAACCACAAAAGCTGTTCGAAACAAATATCCGTTTAAAAACAAAAAACCCCCTTGTACTTAAATTTTTTGTACATATTAACCAAATCCGCTGGATCTTACCCATCGCTTAACTCACAAAACTCCATTATGAGGTTGTTCACACTTCCGAAAAAAAAGTACTTGTTTTGGATGCGAAGATAAAGCAATCTGTGTTCAAAACAACGCTCCTAAGTTTCCCTGCCTAATTTACCACTCCATATTAGGGAAAGAGTTAGTTTAATTAGACCGTCACCATACTGCAGTGCTTTTATTCCTAGTAGTCTAAGGAATGATGTCCCGGCACGTAGTAGAGCAACATTTTGACCACTTCAAAATAGGTTCAGATCGACTTGCAATAAAACTAAGTACTCCAGTAAACGCCGAACGCGCAATTGAAGAGATTTTGAAACTTTTGCTCGGAATCTGGCTTACGATGCGTAGTGATGTGATGATTTTGCGGACAATGTCTAGGCTTCAAGTTGAAACCAACAAGGTAGTGACTGAAGTCGAGGACGAGTAGCCAGGCTAAAAAACTTACCAGAAAGCGTTCATACGGCAGCCATTTACCTTCCTTGGCAGATTCTTCAAGCCAGGCTTGATCCACTACAGGAATAGAAGCCATTACTGCTTTGAAAAGGTTTATTGTGCGAGGAAAAGGTGACGTGGAGACGAGATGCGTTGTGGTTTCAGGGTGGAGACTGTCTGTTACACTCCACCGCTGGTCCGTATCCTCTGTCTCAGCGATGATTGGGGTACGCTGTTTCTGAACGACACCGCTAGCGTCTCCACAGAGTCGACGGTTTAGCGCAGGGACGACCTCAAGTTGGCTAAGCTTATAGCTTGAGCGAAGCAATGCAATGAGTGTTTGTCGTTGGCTGAAGAAAATTGGCATATTAGTCAACTGCCCCCAACAGGGAAAACATTTGGAGAAAGTGGTGAAGCATACAAAAAAAAGTTGTAGTTCATCATTGATAAGTCGGCGTGGAGCTGGTTTTGAGGAGACCGCGGGAGTGGGTCAGGAGAGTAGGACTTTTATGCATTAACATAAGAGCAAGTTGCCGAAACAATAATTAAGAAGGAGAGGAGAGCACATCTGAGTGTGGATGCAACAGTGATTAGTTCGGGGCGGAAGTGAGGAAGGATGAACTCTGTACAAATGTAAGTTCCAATGAACATTTTACCAGGAACAAAGGTTGGGCGCCAATCTTCCTTAAGGTTTAATTACTACGAAAGTAACATAGGATGGAATGAATTACTCACTAAGAATGAAGACCAGAAAACAGAATTTCGATTGGTCGCCTTTCCAGAGAACGCTTAGTCCTTGTTGTAGTAGGTTTTAATACTGCAACATGAAAAACAACATGAGAATAAAAAATTGAGCAAATAAGAAAAATGGTTAAAGGGGATTGCAGACATACCATCCGAGAGAACGAACTCTTCAATACTATTTCTGACGGTGAGTGGCTGAAAAGGAAACGAACTTTGAGACAGCTAAGTCATAATGAAATGTTGGAAATGACAATGAAAGTTCAACAGTCTTAATATTTAATGTTTTCAGTTTCCAGAAAAATTTATATGGCCGATCTAGGTGGCGAAAAAGGAGTAGACAAAAAGCTTCAGTCAGTGGTAACTAAAATGAAGGTCATGTAGAGTGGGGGTGACGAAGACAACCCACCTGTTTCTTTACAAAAAACACGAGAGGAGGCAACTCAAGAGTTAACCTTTGGGGCATTTGATGAACTAAAGGAAGACGACAGGCTCGATAAAGCCGATTTGGCGAGGGAAATTTCGTACTTCGAGGGAACTTACAAAAATGAACTTATCACATGACCTGAATCCGGTGACCGTGATTTGTATGAGCACACTCAGACGCATAGATTTAAAGTCGCAAAATGATCCACACGGGAGCATCCGAATGGTACACTTGGGCAAAAATCAATGACGCGAATTTCACAGAAGATAGGCTATCTTGTAAACATATGTGCACAACTAATAAGGCGGTACTAAAACCAGGCCTGAGTTGATCAGACGGAAAATAACTTTGACTTTAACGCCGCCCAAAATACTGTCGCGGTCAGTCCTGTTGGGAGAATAAAAGGCATATGGCTATTTGACTGCAACTAATTAAGGCCAGTTAAGTCCCAAGCTCGTTAATCCGATAAAGAGAATGAAACCACGCAAACGGTGAAGAAACAACATCCAGAATGGTGAAATTACACTGAGACTTATTGTCAGCGGCTTCAGACTTATTTCTGAGTCTACGACAAGCGAGTCCACAGTCCTTTCTAGAAATCTTTTTCTGGACTTGGGAGTGGCTGTTGTTTCTGCCGATCCTACACGCGGCAACCCGGACAACGGCTTCACAACCGACCTCACTTGAATGTCAATTTTTTCTGGCATTCGTAAAGAGGTGCTTCGCGGCGCAACCGATGGCAGAACTGACGATTTAGAGGATAGTATTCTTTTATCTGATGTAGCCAGGCCGTCTTTTTCTTCCCAGTGCCCTTCACTATATTTTCCTATCGAATGGGAAAAGGCCGAATTTTGTTTCATGCACAGGTTCCCCGACTTTAAGCTGGAAAACATAGAAGAGCATGTTTGTTTATGATGATTGCCCAACATGGTGCTAGAAATCAGTGATGTTGCATTCATCGGGAAAATTTTATGGTCACTACTTGACTGTACTGCCTTTTTGAGAAGTCGTCTGCGCAAGGATGAACGACGTCTAGTTGGTGTCTTTTTTGAGTAAGTGACTGGCGAAGATTTGGGTTTGCTGCTTTTCTGGGAGCCGGGCGTCACTCTCATAGGTGAATGAGAAGGGGATTTCTTGTCTACTGCCCAATTCCTGTGGGTCCCAGTAGACGATGAGAGATTCTGGACAAAAAAGTGAAGGTTGTCGGGAGAAAATGGTTTGTGTGGCAGCGCAGTCGATCCAAAAACATCTGAAAGTCTCGGTCTCGAGACTACTGTCGGCTGTTCTTTGAAGGTTATGAAGAAAGATGAAGAATCAACGTTTTTTGGTGACAAGGGAGGACGCATCCAGCCGGGGGGAGGCCTTTCGGAAGCAGGAGGCAAACTAGGAACAACTGATAAAGACGATGGAGGGATAGTTGACTGTAGTGGGGGAGTAAAGTGGGAATCGGGGAAACTAAATTGGGTCGTCAAATTAGAGAGCTCCACTTGAGTATATGCTAAAAGAAGATGATAAATAGTAGCAAATATTTATACTTATGTTGGCTTGATAAATTAAACAGCAAATACAATTTTTTTCAGAATCTGGTAATGGAATTATTGTTGATAAAATATACACACAGACTAAGGGACTATAACAAAGACCAAAGGGAGCTTAGTGGAGAGCAATGTTGTCCTACATGAAAAACTGGAACATTGGTTGCTCAATCGACTTACAGGATCCTGTTAACGAGATACCAGCGACCGTTTGGGGTCCCAATTCTTTGAGAGAATCGGAATTCATTGCACGTGAGTCTGAACAGCTTTGCAACAAACGCGTGGAGAGAGGTGTACTCGGATTTGAAATAAAATTTTCGATTACAGAGGGGTCAGTCGACGATTTTTCTAGAATAGATTTTTGCGTTGCATGAGCATCAACCGAAGCGACAGAATCAATTCTTTGAACCAAAGAAACAGAATTGTTAACAAAACTTGGGTCTTCAGCCATGTCAACATCCTGTTTGTCCCTGAGGTAATAGCAGGCTTCCGGGACTCGAGACTAGGGAAAATAAAATACATATAGCAATCCATACTACATGAAATAAAATTAGGACACATGCACGAGCTTAGTTGTCTGGAAACCATTTTCTTGGCTTACTGTTATGGATAAGTTAATTACCATGGTTTTAGTTTTGGAAGTTGGTTAGTCACAAATTTAATAATAGGTATTGTCGGAAACCAACATAGACCACCACCATTTGGCCTTGAAATTGACTGGGAATGATGAAAGGTAAGTAAACCATGGCAATTTATGGAAACCGACAGAACTTACATTTCCTTCGACGCAAGCTTTAACCCAAGCTGGTGTCACTAAATTTATACCCCGTTTCTCTGCCCACAACCTTGTCATGGGGTCACCGTTGCGGAAAACAACGTGGGTAACGAATGCACTACGGGTTCTTTCGACTATCGCACCAAGTGAGGAAAGACGTTCCGCAACCACATTTTCTGGATTACCGAAAGGTGAGCGAATGTCAACATAGGCGACAACACCTTAGAAGAAACAAAGAAATTATGAAAACAGAAATAAAACCTTGGACTGAACCGAAATACTTTGCATCCAGATTTTACGGCCAGAGTACTAAAGAGACATTATCTCACATGAAGATTACACAATAGCTATGCTCGAGTTTCAATTCAATATGCTTGATAAATTATAAAAAAGGAAACAGTGAAAAACATTAAGGCAGTGATAGATCCTCTGTATATATTAAAGCTAAACACTATACAACGCGACAGGTACACAAAAACAATACTTCGTGGCTCCGAGATTGTAAATATATTTGGCCTCAACGTCGAAAATGGCCTTATAGTGTCAGTGTAAAGGGTTCGGCGTTAACCTCAGGCTTAAAGAGCTGAATTTAAAAGTTTCGTGGAGGTACAAGTGGGAAAAGCAACTTCATAATCCCATTTTCCAGTTAGGAGGGATACGTCGAAACACATAAGAGATTAAAGCGAAAAACACAAATGCTGTTAATCACCAGCCTTAATTAAAATTAACACAAACAGTCTGCTAAAAATTAACTTAAAATCAAAGCTTAGTAAATACACGATAGGAAAACCACTGTGCTATTCACGAAGCTAACCCAGGGGGCAAATTCAACACCGAGCGGAACCTAGAAGTGTACACTACGGACTGACGGGTTAGATGCAAATTTAACTGAGAGCGAATACCAAAAAAGGGCAAAAACAGATCACAGATACCATGGAGTAGGCCCCTTCGAGAAACACAACTATGGGACATCATCCGGGCTTTAAAAAGGCCCTCTCCACTCAAGTATGTGCAATGGAATTTGATGAAACAAAACAATGTTGGTTACTGAAAGCGAACTCGGCAAAAATCTAAAAATCAAATTCATTATATGTAATTAAATGATTTACTAAAAATTAGCAGAAAAACATATACTCATGGCTAACGAAAATCCCGTTTATAAAAATATAAATTATATTACCTTCATCAATTTCCTTTGCAGAGACAGTTTAAAAATATAAAAATACCAATTATTGTAGCTACGAGCGATCTCGTTACATCATTTAATTATACATAAACTAGTACCTCAAGTTGATTTTGCATCTAAATAGTTTTTCAATTAGACACTTGCATCAGGCAGTCATTGCTTATTTGCACTATTTATTTAAATTGGAATTAAGGGTTCTGTTAGAAGGACTCCCTATAGTTTAGATGGTTATGTTATAAACTGTCTGCGAGCCAGATTTCAGTCACCCTTGCTTCTTTTTCTTGGCCACTTTTGTTAGTCGCCTGCTAAAAACCGCAGCAGCAAACATGATAAAAAGTCAGTAAAGCTTAGAACTGAGGTTTCTACATGGCTTATATATACATGCGGCAATAACTTTTAACACCATAACCAAGTTAATAATTTCCAAATAGTTGAAATGAATCCATTTTTGAATCGTTGCATTCAAATTTAGGGCAATACCCATCTGCCATTTATATTATCTATGCTAAAAACGTCGATGAGTTATGGATTTAATCAGTTAATTCGAAGAGTATGGCATAATTATGCTTGTTTTTTAGTGTTATGTTATAAATTTAAGTTATGTTGCGAGAATATTCTTTCCTTTGCGTTCTTGTACATGCCAGAGAAGAAGTATCAAATTAAATATTTCGGAACACCCTCAGCATACTGAAATTAGAGGCACAGATTTTATTTTTTGATAGCAAGCCATTTTAAAAATCAATCCTTGATTTGTCAGTAGTGTTTTGATTTCAACTCTTGTTTTTATATATGCTCGTGAAAAATCAATTTTCCGCGTTAACACATTATGATGCAGGGGGAATTTTTGGTAATGTTACACGTAAACGATAACGACAGTACTTTAGTTTGAAATACTGTATTTCTTTCGTCAAAAATGCACTGGTTTTGTCTCTGAGAGGCTAATGTCATTGTCCCATGATGCATCTCTATCAAAATACATTACCATATTCCAGGCCCTGGTGCATTATCAGGAAGGTCAGGACATTTAAAAACCTCATAGCAGTTGCAGAAAAATACAACGATGCTTTACAAATCCTTTTTTCTTTACGAGAAGACAAAGACCTAGGTCTTGCTGTTCTTATTTGCTTGTCAAATGCTCTTCAAGTTACTGAATTTTCTGGTATGGACATTTTTAATGAACTATTTGTAGGCCAGTTTAAAGTGGATGAAATTAAAGCAAGCATTAAAAGCATGAGACGCACAGCAAATGGCACAGTTGGCTACTCTATATCTTAAGGCATTTGTGATAGGCTTTATATTATGCTGCGGCCTGTCTTTTTGTATTAGAACGTTATGAAAAGGCGATGAAATTTGCTGAAAAAGCTATGAAGCAGGACCCTGGGCTTGTAAGAAAACTTTTTGACATTTCTTTTTATAGGCAAAAAATCTTGTTGGATTTTCGTTGTGTTACTGTTCTAACAGAAATCACCAAATTACCGCGGAATACTTCTTTGGAAGTCAGTCAGAGTACTTAGAAATTTTTGTTGCAATATTCTAGGGATGATGGGGTTGAAAAATTATTCGGTCTGGCTTTATGCGCAAAAGCTGCAAACGATCTACCTGAGTCTTTAAGATTGCTAAACTATATCATACTACGGTTTCCTGTTTTTATGCCTGCACTTATTGAGAAAATTGACGTTCTTCTGCTCTCTAGGAAATGGGATCAAGCACGGGAAGCGGTTTCACAGTATTGATTATTGAAGTTGATAACCAATATTAGGTGTTGTGGCGCAAATTCTCGCTGTGTAATAGCTCTAATGTACCAGCTGCTGTATTCTCTTTGCAGAACGTCGAATTACATGCAGGCACGCCAATATTTTATGACATATCACTTTTAGTCTCTATGTGAGCTAGATGAAATAATGAATGCATTGATGTTGGCTGAACCGACACATCACTACTATTACAGAAAAGTAGCTGATATTGTTCTTAAATTCGTGAGTTAGATTCTTATACCAACATGCAACTCTGATATATAACAACATTTTTATTACTAGAGTGGTCGCCATCCGCAACTACTTAAGAAGGCACTAAAATTCATTGATCGTGCTCTTGAGCTCTCTTCTACAAATAGTTCTTCTCATTTAGTTGCAGCTTCACTGCAATTAGCGACGAAAAACATTAAGAAGGCTTCTGCCCATTTTAAACAAGCAATGATTGTTGACGAATCTAGCATTGAAAGTATGAACGGTGAGGTTCAATATATTTTCATTCCCATCTTTTATGTCGGATGGTCTATACTTAATTCTTTGTATTAAAGGTCTCATTTGCTGTCACCTTGAAAAAGGTGACACGAAAGACGCGGCCCTCCAACTGGAGCTTCTGGACGAACTTCTGCCTACAATTGGGGAATCCGCAGTAAGCCCTTTCAGCACAAAATTTTCTTTTCCTGTCTCGAAGATATGTCAAGTATTGCTAGGTTTGGAAAATAGTGGATGTAAATGGCTAATTCTGGCGCATTCCATTGGTTGCCGTGTTTGTTGTGATCATGACATATGAATACCTAGCTTTGTATTTAGTCATAGTTGATAGCATCTGATAAACATTCTGGATATTTATTAAAATACTTTGTTAGGTTTTCGAAGACTACAAATTTAAAACTGACAATACTGGCTTGCGACTCGCTGCTGAATGTGCAATTATCCAGTAGTTCATCATTTTTAGGAAACCGTGTATTTACAGGCACTGTTGCTTCGTGAACAGAAGGGTAAACCTTTGGAAGTAATGAACTTGCTCGACAAAGCCTCGAATATTCACTTCAGGGTGCTGCAGGTAACAACTTTGCTTTATTTCTGAAGGTAAAATAATCGAAAATTTAATTACACCATGTTCTCTCACAGGATCAGCCACCCTCAATTGAGTATTACATGAAGTTGAATCCTGACTTTCTGCTACAAATTGTGAATTCTTATCTTTCCTTGTCAAAGCTAACCCCACTAATTCCTACTTGTGATGAAGTTGTAGTCAGGGGGAGTAATTCACTACTCTCACTTTGGCCAGATGAACAACGACTTCTATCAAAGTCAGAGAGAATCCTTACTCAATTATTAGAGGTCATGCCAGGTCATCAAAGAGCCAATTATTACCTTGCTTGCGTCTACTTGAGTCAGGGAAACGAGGATGGAGCATTGAAACATAGCCAAATCTCCATCGACATTGATCCCACGTGTATTGATTCGCATGTCCTGCAAACAAAGGTGAGTTACTATTTTTACATTTTTCAATGAAGTTTCATTGGATTAAAATCTTAGTTCACTTTCAGATTTATCTTCACCAAGGCAATTTAAGAATGGCTGAGCAAGCATTGGAGATAGGCCTAAGTAATAATTTTGATCTACGTGATCATCCAATTAATAATTTGGTCCAGGCGAGGATCTATCTCAATGACTTCAACACTGAGAAAGCAATTAGAGTTCTAATTGAGACTTTGGCTAACCCTGATGCCCCTGGACGATCTACCGAGCCAATTTCAAAACTGAACTATTCGGACTTTTGGATAACAATATACATCGACCTGATTTACGCTTATCGCAAGATGAATAAAATCGTGAGTCTATTTCTATATCTAAGTTGTGTTTATGGACCTACAAATAATTACTGGTAATTTACATAGAACGACGCGAAGAGGACTTTGGCGGAGGCAAAGATAATTTACGCCGGATCTCCTGAGAACGAGAGACTTATTATTTCAGCAGCTGAAATATCCTTAGGAGATGGTAATTTGGAGGGCGCTCTAGTGCATTTACGTGAAATTACTCCAGATACGCCCATCTACATCCTAGCAAAGCAGCGCGTGGCCGAAATATTTCTTAACTACAGGAAAGAGTGGAAGCTTTATATTGCATGCTACAGGTACACGGACCTTCGTTTCATGAGCTATTGATCTACCATTTTGGCATAATAGTGTTCGTAAGGAATTAGTGTTATTGCGCAAACACAAATTGTATTCGTGTGTATCTTGTTTATACAGTGAATAGATTGCTTTTTTTATACACAACGGTCGGCTTAATAGGGCCATATTAATTACTGCTTCTATATCTGCCTCTGATTATGGCACGGCAAATGAATCTGACGTCCCAATAGTTACAAGGCACCCTGACGCCAAGCATGCTTTGGTCAATTATTTTTATCTGGACCAAATTTACTACTGATAATTAGGAATGTAATCATTGCAAGATAATAAGATCCAGATGCAGATCCTCATTTGACTATGTGCCATTTAACCGGATCCCGACTGGCCAATTTTATGATTCGGTTTGGACTTGAGGCTAGTAATTATTTTAGGATGGGTTTTTGATGAGGATATGAATAATAACTGTTGATATTATGTTAAACAAAGCAAGCTAGGGGGAATTAACAGAATCTAATAGTCAGTTTCAAATAAACTTTCTAAGTTACCCCTGAATGAACAGGAGTCTTCGAAACGATAACATATCTTATGACAGGTCCACTAGAAGTTCTAATATGTGCACATTTATGCCGAGGTTCATGCAAAAGCTAATTTTTTAACTTGCAAAAACACACTCAAAAATTATTGGTTTCTGAGTTATTCTTTCTTGGGTTTTACCCAATAGTCCAAATTAGATAATTATTCCGACCATGGTAAGGTGTCGAATTCATATTATCATTAGTTATATTAAAAACAGACTTTTCAGGACCTTTTTGAGATTTTCCAAACAAAGAATCTTGAAATGACCGATTGCGGATGGCTCATGCATTGTCACACAAGGCATTCGGCTACGCGGCGGCAAGTGTATTCGCTTTATTTAGCGAGATATTTCGGTAACGCATTAGGACATGAATACACAGTGAAAGAAAGATTGGTCATTCACTGAATGACTGTTTTATTCGTTAGGGAACTTGCAGAAACTCTGGAAAAGTGTCCTTTTGCCTACCTCCTACTGGGTGATGCCTACATGCGCATTCAACAACCTCAGCGAGCTATTGAAGTGTATGAGTCGGCCCTACGCTGGAACCCAGGAGATCTATGTATTGTCAGCAAAATGGGTGAAGCCCTGGTCACAAAACATGAATTCGAAAAGGCTGTTGCTTACTACGAATCGACTATCCATGCCCCTTCCATGAACTCAAGTCCGCTCGAGACTGATTTGGCTGTACTCCTCATCAAATTACAACAATTTGACAAGGCGGAACGCATCCTTATAGCAGGTTTCGAGAATCTGAAGTCATGTAGGTGACAGGAAGCATTTTTAAATTATTTTTGAAAGCCAATGTCCCCAAGAATTTCCGGATTTTAGTTTGTCCTCAATAGAAAACGAGGAAAAGTGCTTTGGAACTGACTTCTGCCCTCTAGCAACAACTTGATGAATTTAGGCAGCCCATTTATTAAGATGGAGCTTTAAAATTTGAAAAGTCATGATTTAACGGAATAAGTCCTTTTTGGACGGCAGATGCTGGTAATGTTGTCGGAATAGCTCAGCTTGTCTCGAGCCTTGTGAACTTTCTCTATACGCTTGCATGTACGCCATGCAATGCAGACTTGGGGATCGGAAATCACAACTAAAATATAAAAGTAGGTTGTCACAAACTACAGACCAATGCACGTGTGACCATTTTTAACGGTTATTCACATTCCAAATGTCTATGAACTCAATGAAATCGATAAAATTAAACAATTTAAGGCACATTTATGCCAGCTGGGAATACACATGAAAAAAATCTGAAGTTGTAAACATGCTTGTGTGATTGATCAAACATTTCCTACCAAGCAATCTTGTTCTTAAATTATGCAAAGTATGCAGGCGCCCTACCAGGTAAATTTCAATGTTCACTTTAAATTAGTACTGTGTATAGTTGCCGTCCCACTTTCTAGCAGAACGTATAAAATAGCAGACATGATCGAATTGCACTTTAAGCAGTAACTAATTATTAAAAAATGCACGCATTGTGTCATGTCAGCACAATTCAAAGGCCTCAACTATCGCCGCGTTTTTTTTGGAATAGCTTGATGACAGGTGATTTCTACTCACGATTGTACAATCTGGGTTGCAGCAGAGATGAAGATAAATCGGGCGCCATAGTATTTTATTAATTAATAATTTCATTTACGCTTACAAAGCTCGTTAAACTGCCTTAATCAATATTGGAAATGAACTAGAGGCACTTGATGTCCTGCATTCACTGATTATGGGAATGGGAACTTTAAACAGGAACAACAAATTGCTTAGCTTAATTTGATGTGTGTTACGTAAAAAAAAAGGGAAACGTTTTAAATCTGAAACAGAATTTTTTACCATTAATTTAGCTGTAATTATCTGTCAGCAGTAAAATAATTGGGTCTAAAGGGATATGCAAGCTTAATCTGCATTTAAAACTACGTTGGCATGGGTTTTGTGCGCAGTTGACACAATTTGAGATTTGTGCAAAAGGACCCAGACGAATTTATCATTCAGCAATTACCATGATATTTGCAGTGATTTTTGTCTGCATCAATGTATACTTGTTTCAAAAAAAGCTTATTTGCGATGGCCACTCGACAGAGGTAATATAACGGCATTCAATTTGTCCGGTCTCGATTTGTAGGCATTGATCCATCGAAATGTGTAGGTCTTATCACAATTTCCGCAAAGTTATGACCTTGAATAACGCTTAAGTAGACAGGGGTTGATTTCTAATAATTTACTGCAATTTACTAGTGGCATTGCTATTTCACTACGGTATGTACTCTAAATCTAAGCATTCATAGGCAGATACTGTAATTCCTTACTGTTACATAGGTTAAAAGTAAAGTTTTTAAAAATTTATTTTTTCAGCCTCTAAATTATCGAATCTACAGAGAATGACAGATCTACTGATTCTTCTTGGTCTTGTTTATTATTTGCAAGATAGGCACGTTCAGCAACTAGAAGCACTGGACAAAACAAGTAAAACAATCGGAACGATCCAGAGTCAGCTCAAAGCTGAAGATTCTTCAGACATCCCAAAGGCCTGTCGAAATCTGCTAATAAGGTGACTTACTTGATTACAAATACATATTTATTTTGCCTTCAAATAATTTTTAATGGAATTAAAGAAACTGATATTACTTAAATCAAGCTCTACGCAATTTTTATTGTCTCTTCAATTGTTGTGGAAAATAATCATTTCTTCAGAATATAGTTCAACTTTGGGTGTTTGCGTATTGAGACTATTTTAATCGCATTCGCATTTGCTTTATTTAAGTGTTCACCTGCATATGGCAGACACCCTTCAAAAGATGCACAGTTTGTCACAAACTGTCCCTGATATCGTCTCGCAGCTATACAGCAGCGAGGCTTTAAGGCAATCCACCACACCCATAGCAAATCACCCGCAAGAGGAAGGAGGTGGAGACAATGTGTCGACAACCAACGACCCCAACAAGTCCACGAGAGGGGCGTTGTTCTCTTCGTTACAACTAGAAAAATCCATCATTGCCTGCGAGGAAGCTATTAGGGAGATTTACGCAACCAACTCTCCAAACATTATTGACCGCCTGAGGCATGCAGCAGCGTTGTCATTGTTGGCCCGGTGCTATCTGATGAATGGTGATAGGGCCCAGTGTGAGCAGACTTGCTTAAAATTGGCTCTTTGTCAGGTAGGCTGTCTTATTTGACGGCGTAAGCGTACTACCAATAATTTGATTATTTATTTCGTCAATTAAGTTGTAGAAAAACCACGGTAAACCACCAGTAAAGTCAGGTTTTGATGCGCCTACCAATATGCGATTCTTACATACGCATGCAGTCCTCAATCATCAAGTTTTGAATAATCTCTTGGTTGTAGACATGAATTAAGAAGAAACTGCAAAGGTTCTAAAGCATTAGATGTTGATTTAGGTTAAATCATTAGCATTTATCATTGAGCTGGTCATGTTACAATTCTAATGAAATATACCAGAATCTTTTCCAACTTTTCTAATTTAGCCTTGGCGATTGCCATCCTGCAAAATTCGAAATTTCAAAACCATTAATTTTGGGCATTAAAACACGGAGTATTCAACCATTTAGTCAAGTATTGAGCTCGGCTTGGTAAATACAATTATAGGGTTTTTTATTGTAAAAATAAACTTACACTTTCCTGTATATTCCAGGAAGAAATCCACTCAGGCACCAGCAACCTAACACTCAGTGACTTTAACGTTAACATTGAACTTTTCTCTCCGCTGGTAGCTGAAAAGAATTCATCGACATCATCGACACTTAGTACATTTCCGCTATTTAGATGTGCTGGATCTGTCGAATTCGTGCCTGCAGCTATTATTATGGCAAACTTGTTAACACAAGAGGGCGATTTTGAGGGGGCTTTACCCCACCTCTTAAAACATCTAAACGAAGTTCCAAGTATGTCTAAATTGATTAATAACATGGTTTCTGAATACTCTTTTGCTGCCTCACAAGCTGATTTTATGCTTGTGATTGGGTCACGATTGTTCGCGAATGATATCGATTTAAAACGCAAATGTTTCCGTGACTAGAAGAAAAAGGACAATTTTTATTCAGGAAGAAAAATTGAATATGCAAAGCACGTACAAGGCCATCACTGCCTCGACAATTTAATACGTTGGCAGATTCAATGCACTTTATAAAATGACAACATTTGAAGAGATAAGTTTTACGCCAGGTAGGCCTTTGTAGGTGTACATTTTGCCTCGGGCAATTAAATGTAGTTCTGTAGCAAATATAATCTTATACCAGTCGCCTGCAATCCACTCTCCTGTTTGGCTTTGTAAACGGATGTTTTTTGCTAGAAGCCTTTTGCAGTTGCTTCGTTAGTCATTTTTGCATTAATAAAATAACTTGCGGCAACGTTGAAACGATAACATTTTCCCGTGACATTTAATGGACTTATAGTAACCTAATACTGGACACTATGTGCCTCACAGCCTTCCAAATTTTAAAGGCATGGACAGCAAACGAGGGTCGCGCAGTTTTGGCAATGCTGACTACACGAAATTGCTTTAGACTCAAATAATGATAAGTCCATCCTTGCCCTATTGTCAACGGATTTTCGGCAAATTTTATGGAGTAATCCTAATAATAATACATTTTCACCATTTAACATTGAACACTATCATCTTTTGACTGGTATGTTTACAGCTTGCGTTTCAATACGAAATAAAATAAATACGCCTTATAAGTAGTTAAATTAGTTGTAGCAATCTAATGTCATTGGTGTTTATTTTATCTGTACAAATACCGGTTCCTAGACGCAGCCATATTCCTTATTGCTCATCATTTCATTAGGATTCCAAAAAATTGCCAAAAATGATTGAATGGGCAAATGCCTCATCTACACAGCATTAAGACAATAACCGAAATAAAACGAAGTTTTCCATTACGACTTGAAATATAATACAATAAAAATAACTAAAAGTTAGCTGTATCCAAATAAGTAAGGGGCTGTCTTGAGTAGCAAACCTCACTCATGGTTATGTGAAAATGATGAGTTTGAACATTGGATTGTTTCACGAATTCACATGATTCGCTTTCCAGCTTTTGATACCAATTCTTGATCTTGCAACTCTTAGTTTAGTGGATTATGAGATCAGTGTTTCTGTGGGAATTTCCTAGGATTTGATTCTTCTTAAATCAAAACTTTTGTTTAGCTATGGCGTTATTTTGCTACATAAATAATTCTGCGTTTACTTTTGCCTTGCAACAAACCTGATTCTGTACCATCGTAGTAATGAACGCAATTACTCGGACTTATTCCTTATAACTACCAAAATTTAATTGCTGTGGCAGTTACTTCCTTTGGCGCCAAGCAGGCTACTTTTGACTTGTGTATGAATAGCGGTGGTGCGAGCAGACTACAAATACAAGTTTTCCACCAGGATTATACCCTTCTTCCGCGTACTTTCTTTTAAGCCAGTTGCTGGTTCAAGCTACTGTTTGGTACTCTCGCTTTAACTTTATAAAAAAAGCCTAATTTCAATATCCTGTTTTCTAGATTGACCTGAATCCATCCAATTCACTTTGCAGACTTGCCGACACTTTATAATGAAAGCTCGTACTTCTAAAAATAGGGTGACTTGAGATTTGTTCCCATGCAATGTTCTCCACTAACACTATTTGTTTATTTTTCGGATCTTAGAATGCATGAAGCAAAATCATTTGTGAGTAACAGTCTAAGTCAAGTACTTCATTGGAGGGTTTTTTCCATCAGTAATTCAATGGATGATAGCGTTTCAAAGATTAGATTTGCGTTAGCAGACTACATCAGTTTACATTCAAAACGTGGGACTTAAATTCGCTAGAATTTATTTTGTCTTACACTAAATTGGCTTGACGTGCGTACATTAGCATAGAACATGTTTTCACCATTAAAGAGGAGTTTCATCAATTGTGCTTGTATACGATGTTAACATGTAAATCAGATGCCTATAATAATCTATTGTGTTGAAACAACCAGGTTCCTGTATGTACATCTACACTAGTGGCTTATTCTGTCAATTTAATTTAAGATGATTACAATGCCGTAGCCCATCTTGTCAATATCTACCGTCGCGTTGGCAAGCTACCAATAGCAAGGGAATACCTAAATGGCATCCTACAATCAAATGCATCTGCCAATTCGGTTTGTGGATTTAATTTTGCTCTAGGATTTTACCACTGGTAAGATATTTAAAAAACGAGAAAAAAAAACCAGATTAATCGTAAATAAAATACTGGTTATGGATTATTTGTCCATACTGAATCGGTAATTCACAGATAGGGCAATAAACACAAGTTTCCCAATAATTTATAGGAAGTTTGGGAGAACCGGTATAAGACTGTTTATGTCAAGTACTGGAATGTAAAATCCTTATTAGTCTGCTTTGCTTATAACAGAAAAATTTAGCCTGCTAGAATACGTTACATCGGTCCATTATAGTGGCCTTTCAGGAATTATCTGGATCTAACATGATTTTTTTCGCATGAATTAACAAAGCTTTCGTTTGATTAAAGTTAGGAGCAGACTTAAAGGGTAGAGCTAATGTGTAAAAGTGCTTGAGGAGATAAAACATTTGTGACCGCGTCATAACAAACGTGGGTAATAAACAAGAATGCTAATGCTTTCATCAGATCCGTTACTTGAAAATTTACTTTAACAGGGAGTTAACAAAACTAAATATAGTATCATAGCTTTTAAACACAAGCATTGATTACTTCTAAATTCATTCTAAGTTATCACAAAAGCATAGAGACCGTATTTTAGCGCACTACTGCCGGTTTAGTTAAAATTTCAGTTTTAACTGCATATCTGAAATTACACGTAGTCTTAAATAGTAGTATCCTACTTTTAGTCCCTTTGTAGAAATAACAAAGGACAAAATTTTTTTCACATTTTCTCGCTCAGGAAAGTGTAAATTTCAGATCCATGGTGCTGGTATGTACTTCAATCCTTAATATTTGCACAGAAAATTGCAAGTCCTGTGTAGGATGCGAGACATCATATATTGACCAACATACTGCAAATATTATGATTTACCAAATTAAGTTAAAATCAAATTCAATGAATTTCGTCAAAGGTGGCAAATTGGTTTTCGACGGAGTTTTTTTGCATATAATTTTAATAAAATACCGCATCTATTCAAAACGGAAATTAACTCTACAAAAAGGAAATTTATCCAAATTTTACATAAAGGTATACTGGAGACGAAAATCTTGCAATTCGTCACTTCAACGTCGCTCGTCTTGATAAAGACTTCGAAGCTGAATCGTTGGTTGCAATGATTGAAAATTGCTTATCATTTTCATTGCGCAATATCTTGTCGTTGAGTTCCGTGGATGGTGGAATAGTGACCAATGAAGAACGGCAAATGAAACTTGTGTCAGTGACTACTAATGCGAACGAAAGGCCTGTGTCATTTGGTTTTAACGGAGTGGGTGATGTCGACTCAACTCATCTTAACTCTTGTGACGCTGATACGACTGAATCTTCCGTTTATAGAACTGCAGAATTCTTGCTTGTGGTACGTATTCATTGGATATCATGTATTAATCAACTCAGTGGATGTATCGCCAATGATCATTTAGAAAGCACACAGCATTGAACAGTTGGGATGTTGTGGATATCTATCGCCAAATTTTTGAAATGAAACTGTATTTCAACACATTTTGGTAAAATCTTTTGAAAGTGAAAAGCTTACTGAGGATTTATCATTAAATTACTGCGATTATGAGGCTACCAATGGGACATTGGCACTGGTTTCAAAGCCAAAAAGTGATATAGAAACCCGCATGTTTTGGATTACGTCTGTTGGTACAATTATAGATCGAGTCGATCCAAAAAATTCAGGCGCTTAGAGAATGTGCAAATAAATTGGTAATTGGATTATGCACAAATATTGACTAGCCCTATACATGAATACCGATTATAAGTGTAAACGAGTAAACTGTACAACGAGCTCTTAATGTAAATCATCATTTTAACATCTGAGGGAAGACCTATTGACGTGGATGCGATTTACTATTTCTGAACTATTTTCGAAAATTAAGACGAAATTAAATAGTGCATCCAACTTTTAACCTACACAAGATTTCAATAATACCTTGTGAATTGATGTTTCTTAGGATCTACATAGAATATGTAAATGGTCAAAATATCTAGACGCTTCCCTAGCATTGTACT